AGGAAGGCCTTCCTGGAAAAATTAACAGAAAAAGAAAAACAAGGATGGGTCATGAAAGAAAACTGTGTTTCATGGGTAACTACAGGGTCAAAAGAAAAGCACATCGAAAAAGAGATAAAAGTGATTCCTTGACTGTCCAGACTGAAGATAAATAATGAGAACACTCAAAAGTAGTGAAGGCAGAAAAAAGAAATGCAGCACCGCACAAACCTGGTAGGCTGCAGTTCGAAGGATGTTTTCAGTTAAGAACTGGAAAACATTGTTTGCGAAAATAGAGTCCATGCACGAATTCAGATATCCTAAATCATTTGATGAATGAACTGAAGCTCCCTCCTTCTGAGAACTCCCATCAAGCACTAACATCAAATGCACAGACCATGCAAGCCGTACACCCCCTATAAAGCCCTCCATCTTTAGATCACTGCCTGAGGACATCACCTGGAAATTCAATCAAAAAGACTTTCAGATGACCAACTAAACGTCCATCGGTAGAGCTTTACTTTGAAATACATAGCTTGTCTTACTGTTTCATGAAATTCTTTCCTAAATGTGGCATCACGAGCCAGAACTGGTGCCATTTCAGAGACTGCACTAAGGGCATCTGATACAAATGCAATGACAAGGCTGAAGAAAAGACTGAATGATATCTGCAGTGAAGGAAGATAGAAGATTATGTTAAACCAATTACAGCCTAGTTCCGATATATGAGATCAAATTCCAAGAGTAGTATATACTTATAGAAAAACAGTGAAACTAACTTTTAGCTACATTTAATTATACAGGCAAACTTCAGTCGTGCAGGGTACATGTGCAATGAGCTTGTAAAAAAAAGATCTCCAAACAGCTATAAACCGTGCAAACAGAATCCACTTTTCAGAAGCAATGAGAAAGAGAGGCCAACCTGGCGTTTCAATGTGCTACTGTCCTCTGTAAGTTCAACAGTGCTATCTTTATAAATCTGAAAGATATCCTTGACATCTTTTGAACCTGAAAATAAGTGAACCATAAGAGCTTGTGCTTTACTAAACTTTTCCTTGCCAATCTGCCAAGTATTGGAACTTTGACAACTACAGTTGGATCCATCATCATACTGAAAATACCACACCAAAAAATTTACAGTGGTATTTCTACTCTCAATGACCAGGTAAATTTTAAGAGGCGAAAATACTCAACTTGGTTGGCATAACAAGGATTGTAGAATATAGCAGGGCTATGGAGACTCAATATATTTCAACAATAACAGCAAGAAGACAAGATTCCTACACCTTTCAAGTTCAAACAGCCACACAGGGAAATGCATCATCACAACTTAACCACACATGAAAGATCAAAGAAAGAAAAAATGGATAGAAAAAGAAAAAACTAAAAATTATGACAATAACAATATTAAAGCTTACCTATCCTAACGACCAGAAGTGAAAGGACAAGGCAGTGTCCCAGGACCAGCCTCTCCCTACAAACAACCGATCGCCGCTCAACAAGGGCACCTCTAGAATCAAGAACATATGGCTCACTGAGAGGTCCACCTAAACCAGCTGGTTCTTCACGATTAAGTTCCTAATAGCAGGTGAACTTCACTTTGAGTAAAGATGTTTTGCATATGGTTAGTCATATAATTTCAAACTACAGGTAGAAAGGTACAACTCTCTTCAGATTAATCAGTCATGAACTACAGTAAAGAAAATATCTCATAATGATTTCAAAAGACACTGTTGCCAGAAAAACCACTCATTAAGACAGAAAATAAGATCCTGCAGACACTGAAAGCTGAGTAGAAACACTCTATGTGAACAATGTGACTTCCCCAAGAGACATAAATCCAAGATACAAACTTTCCAAACAGATGACCATGTTACCAACTTTCCAAACAGATTCAGAGAAAGAAGTTGGGACATGTCCATTCCATGGTTCAAGCCCATTAGTCGGGACGGATTGACAACTCCAGCAAGAGAATCCACTCAGAAAAAAGAACATTCCAGCCAGTTATAGAATCCTAAGTGTGCTACCCAATATGTGGAAAGACAGGGCTGCCTTAACCTTTACATGCACAGTTTGGGGACGCGGCAGAACAAACAAATCACGGGAGAATGTAGTAAATGATGGTAGACTAAGAAATACACTAATCCTATCAGGTTAAGAAGCCCCTTGCCCATAAGAGAGGTCATCTAGTAGAGATAAGCAGACAAGGTTCGACTTTTGTTAAGGACAAACCTAGTCACATTTTATTTAGTTTCTTCGAACTCAACAAGCATGGCTTACAGCAACATAATATAAAAATCAAGATGGCAATAAGAACACACTGAAAGCATGGCTATGATTATGTGCCTAGGGAAGCAAAAACATGGCAAAGACAACTTGATGTTTCAAACCTTTATTAGAGAAATCAACCGCTGCCTAAGACCACCATTGATCAGATCTTCTAAATGTTTTTGAATCTCCGACAGAAGTTCTGCTGGAAGACCCTGATCAAGAACAACAGCCTGCAAAAGAGAGAGGCCAGGAAAAATTAGTTTCTTGGAAATCACAGCGCGCTGCCGAAAGGACTTGAAGTAGACAGAAAGAAAGATACCCTAAACAGTGTATAGAGTGCTGTTAGTAGATCTCGTCTCTCAGTATACCAAAGTCCAGCTGCAAGGCGAAATATTTCTGATGGCTCTCGTCCAATCAAACCCCACTACAGGTAGAAGAAATAAACATCAACATGACAAAGGCATACAACCTGCACTCTTTGTAATAGCAGCAAGGAAAAAAGAAAGCAACAAGATAGCAAATTGAGAAATGCGGATAATAACAGACCTCTTGATTGGCAGATACAATCAATTGAACAGCGTCTATCTCATTCAAATGGAGATCATCACTCAACTTCAAGGCCTACAGTACAACACACAGCTGAATATCAAGTATCCAAAGCAAAATGCACATGATCGAAAAGGCTTATCTGCACTTGCTTGAAAAAGCCATCAAACACAGAATGAAAATTCAAGCAGAGGATGAAATAAATATTCCAAAATCACAAAAGATCCAGAAACACTTGTTGATGTACAGTAACTAGAAATAAAACTTCCAAACCGATACTGCATTTTAGAACTTCAGTGGCAGATATCACACACAACATTTAACTTTCAAATCCCACTGGATCTCTGAAATACATTAGGCAGGTCCATTAACCAAATATGCAAATCTGCTGCAATAACGCCATTGAAAGAAATTGGATCCTCTCTGGCTCATTTTAGGTCCATTAACTACCTAGAACAAGCACAGCTGAACCGGAAAGAGAACTTTCCAGGAAACCAATCAAAAAGCGAGAGAGGCTCACAATTTGCACGTCCTGGTCATCTAGTGAAATTGGTGGTGAATCCGGCAGCCTAACTTCCTTGGACTGAACTTGCGCACGGTCAGACTGCTTCGGAGGCTACAGAAAGGGGAAAGCAGTGTAACTTTAGAGCTCGAAGGAATAACAGGATTCGAAACTACTCCAGAACTACGCAAGACTGTAACCCATTGAGTTAGAGAGGGGAAGTACAGGATAGTTGAGGAGGGACTTCAAGGAAGGCAGAGATGCGCGTATGGCATGGAGGAGTTCGATCCTCTGAGCCGGTGACGGAGGCGAAGGAGCGAGCAGAGTGACTTCGATAGTGGAGAGTAGCTGCTTCGCGGAAACCATTGCGGAGGATGGTCGGGGAATGCTGGGAGTTCAGGTGAAACCCTAACGAAATAGAGGAGAAGGGAGAATTGTCATGGAAGAGAAGCAAGCAAGGTGAGCGGGAAATTTGCAGACGAGCTTTTAGTTTCTGATTCTGTAAAACCCTAACAAAATGAAGGCGGTATTTACATAAATGGTCACTCAAGTATGGAAAATGTAACAAGTTAGTCACTAACTACGAAATATAACGAAATTGTCATTTTGGTTTGTCAATTCGTGACAAATTGGTCACTTCATCTAACTCCATCCAATTTTTCATTAACTCATTTTCGCAAAGTCAACAAGGCATACCAACATCGTCAAGTTGCTTCGTTGGCCCCAAACTTGACCTCACGGTTACGCAATTGAAACTCATTAACCAAGAGACTTGTTTAATAACGAATAGTCGAATCTAATCGATCACTACAAGAACCAATCACTCACCCCTCCACAATCGCGACCACCTCTCAATTTTTTTTCTCTCTTGCCCTTTCTTCTCCAAAATCAAATCTTCTTACGTTTGGACGGGCTCGGCCTTTTTACGTTCTCTTGAAATCTTTCACATCTCCTCGTGCAATCTAGGGAGAGATAGCTTAGTCCTTTGATACGCATCATATCTTACAAGCACACGCATTCACGCTCTCAAATTGATGCTCAAACTGGAATTCCCTAAAACGCCCTCTATATAGGTTGGTCACCCTCTCTCGAGTAAAAATGTCATTTTAGAGGTACATATGAATCTCAATACTATGAGCTTATGCACATATTCTCGCAATACTAACTTGATTATCGAAGAACTTGACTTGTAACTGACCGAATAAAACCGTTTTTGTAGAAATCCATCTTGAGAGTTGGCAAAAAACAAATTCTATGTTTTCAACAGTCAAAGCCTCCTAATCCTTAATAGTTCAAAGTAACATCAAAACTCCAATATCATTAACTCTCTTCAACTTAAACTGTGGTCAACTTCAAATTATCTTGGCAACCAACAACATACATTCATTGTAAATGCTTCCCAATTCCATGCAATATACTTATATTACCATCTAGTACGATCGGCACCAGGATTCATTTCCAAAATAAACCATGCCAAAGAAACTGCATAGCAATGGCTAATCCTGCAAAACAAGAAAACCATCACCTGGTGACACCGTGACAGTTATTAGAAGCATCAACTGGACGTGAATGTCTATGGAACTAACAAGGTAACCGTCCGCCTGTTCTACATATTCCATGAAACCTTATAAATGGAATCAATCCCCCCTTCTACGTTGCCACCACTACTTAAACTTCATAACAGAGGAAACAAACAGAATCAATGGAGCTCACCAACAGAACCATTGTGACCAGGAACTACATCGATGGTGCCCCAAAGGAGTCCGACTTCGAGGTGAGGTCCCGAGTCGTGTCCCTGTCGCGCGAGCCAGCTGGATCGGTCATCGTCAGGTCGCTCTACGTCTCGATAGACCCTTACCAGCTCACCCGCATGAAGAGCGACAGCTCCTCCCAGAGTTACAGCAGCTTGGCCACAGGCATTGCTCCCGGAGAGGTACGTAGTAAACCGTAACGAAATTTTAAAACTGTCGCGTGCTCTGTGTTCGAATCCTGATAACCTCCTCACAAACTGACGCGTTACATTGGCTTGCATTTTTCTTTTTGTGTAGGAGGTTGATTGCTATGGAGTTGGCAAAGTTGTGGCTTCAGGGGACCCTGAATTTGAGGAAGGTGACTTGGTGGGTGGACTTCTGGCATGGGGAGAGTACTGTGTCTTGAAGCCTGGAGCCATGTTCAGGAAACTTGACCCCATGGGGTTCCCTTTGTCACACCATGTTGGTGCTTTAGGTAACGTTACAGAACATCCCCCCACGACCGCGAGTAATCGTTCTAAGTTCGAGTTTCGAGTAAGGTAAGATCGCGCAAGAACGATCGAAATTTGTTTCTTTCTTTTTTTTCCAGCATTCAGCGGGCTGACAGCATACGCGGGGCTGTTCGAGGTGGGGAAGGCCAAGAAAGGGGAGAAGGTGTTCGTGTCCGCGGCTTCTGGTTCTGTTGGACATTTGGTTGGGCAGTTTGCTAAGCTCCATGGCTGCTATGTGGTTGGCAGTGCAGGGAGCAAAGCAAAAGTATGAATCTTCACTCTTCACTCTCTACTCTCTAGCTTTCTGCTTTTTCCTTGAGTCTTAAGTAACCGCTTTGGCTGTGATCACACAGGTGGAGTTGATGAAAGAAAAGCTGGGGTTTGATGATGCATTCAACTACAAGGACGAAACTGACCTCAAGGCAACTCTCAAGAAGTGAGTTTGACATCCTCTGTCACGTACCAATTGATCTCAATAACTCGAGTTGTGTCCGCTAATTCGTATTAACGGCCCAACAGGTATTTTCCGGAGGGGATCGACGTGTACTTCGACAACGTGGGAGGCGAGATGCTGGAGGCAGCCGTCGACAACATGAACGCATTTGGCAGGGTGGCAGTCTGCGGTGTGATCTCCGAGTACACGGGCAAGGGACGAAAGGCGGCTCCCGACATGATGGATGTCATCTTCAGGAGGATAACGATCAGAGGGTTTCTAGCAGCTGATTTCATGTGTGTTTTCCCTGAATTCATGACTGCAGCCTGCGAGCACCTGGGATCAGGGAAGATGGTGTCGCTTGAGGACATCTCCATTGGGTTGGACAGCATTCCTTCTGCATTTGTGGGTCTTTTTGCTGGTGGTAATCTCGGCAAGAAGATTGTTCAGATGGCAGCAGAGTGATGGTTCTTCACAAAGAGCATTTGTTCTCTTTAGGTTTCAAAAACGGTTTGGTCTTCGTGTTAAGGATGTTGTTTATGTGTTCAACTTATGGATTTTGTGGGAGCCCTAAGCCTCGTAATTAGGCATCTTAGTTCCACCATTTGCATTGTACGTGATTCGTGATCAAAACTGCAAGTGCACCGTGTCACGTCACAAATAATAAAATCGGTAAGATTATTGTTCCATTGAAATTAGGATAACAGTTTAGATTTCTACTCCATGCATGCCACCTTGCCCCCACTAGTTCTAGAACCTAGCTACGGGGTTTTGCTATGTCTTATTATCGACGTTGATGTCAACAACCATAGTACACCTCGATGATTGAGATTATCAATCGCAAGTTATGAATAACAATGTCATCTGCTTTTCGTCAACAAACAATGTGAACCTGAATTTCTAACCACAAATCATCGACGACGACGACTTGACGTCGTCAACAATGAGGAACACACTCGCCCGTCGTGACAGCAAACTCTAGCACTTCCAACTCAAGTTGCCTCATCTACCATGGTCAATCTTGGTCATTCAAGGCTACTTAATGTGATAAGCCAAAACCTAAACCATCAAACATTGTTGTAATTTGGTCCCATGACTAATTGAAAAAGTACCAAAAAATACCATCCACAACTAAAATATTTACTTTGATCGGCACCACGATCCACTGCCAAAACGACTGCTTGAACTTTTGAAGTAACAAAACGAGGAAACAACCACTACAAGAAAACAGGACAAAAACCCGGACGGAAGAATCTATGGAGCCACGAAGGTCATTTTCCAGTTTTGTCACCACATGAATGAATTGCTTCGGCCGGCCAAAAACTGTAACCCTCCACCAGCCGAATCTCCACCTTCTCCATCCGCCATTTGATTCCCCACTTCTCCTGTTTTGTCGACCACACACACACCGCTCTTCCGCTACAAATACTGCTGTCCTCGGAAAACAGAGCATATCACTTATTGAGCCCAGGAAGCAACAGAGTGGAGGGAAAGAGAGAGGAGAGGGATCGAAAATGGAAGTTATCATGACGAACAGGATCGTTGTGACCAAGACCCACATCGACGGCGCCCCTAAAGAGACGGACTTTGAGGTCAAATCCCAAGTTCTGGCTCAGTCGGCCCAGCCGGCGGGTTCCGTCATCGTCAAGAACTTGTACGTGTCGGTGGATCCTTACCAGCTGAACCGCATGAAGAGCGACAGCTCCTCTCAGAGCTACAGCTTCTTGGCCGCCGGCATTGGTCCTGGAGAGGTACAGTTAAACTAATTACTTCATGGATATTGATTCACCTTGAGACTCTGAGCCGGAAGAAGTTCATGTTTTTGTAAATCAGTGATATATGATTCATTTTTTGTTGGTGGGTCTCTCGGCGGAGCCAGAAATTTGAAAGAGATTGGCTGATTAGAATCGTAGTAATTGAGGAGGCAGCTAAGGCATTACCGATTACTTTATTCCCAAATTTGTTACTAATTCTACATGTAATTTCACCTATACTTGAAAGTTGAGAGGGTTGTAGTCCCTGGATTCAACCTAATTTCGGTACTGATTCTATCCCGAAAATTCGAGTTATTGAAATATGTGTTTTGAATGAATTCCTGCGTGGCTTCCAACAACTCCGAGCTATCTGGATGAGTTGGTTCTCACAGTTATTCAGCTCCCATGGACAAGCAAATGATGTTACATTTTGTTCTGTTTTCTCTAGGAAATTGATTGTTATGGAGTTGGCAAGGTAGTAGATTCAGGGAATCCTGAGTTTCAAGAGGGTGACTTGGTGGCAGGATTACTGACATGGGGAGAGTACTCTGTGCTGAAGCCAGGATCCATGTTCAGGAAACTGGACGCCATGGGATTCCCTCTGTCGAACCATATCGGAGCTCTAGGTAGATATATCACATTGACCCTCTTGAGTCTTGACCATTCATTTCGCAGTAGCACGAACTACATAAATCTGTGTGTTGTGTTGTGGGATTATCATTCGGACTCTTTCCTATCTCTGCAGCATTCAGTGGTCTGACGGCGTACGCAGGGCTGTTCGAGGTGGGGAAGGCCAAGAAAGGGGATAGAGTGTTCGTCTCAACAGCTTCTGGTTCGGTTGGACATTTGGTTGGGCAGTTTGCCAAGCTCCATGGCTGCTATGTGGTTGGCAGTGCTGGGAGCAAAGCTAAAGTATGGATCTTCAGTCTTCACTCTCTTACTCTTTAGCTTTCTGCATTTTCCTAGAGTCTTAAGTAACAACTTTGGCCATGATCACAGGTGGAATTGCTGAAAGAAAAGCTGGGTTTTGATGATGCATTCAACTACAAGGATGCAACTGACCTCAGGGCAACTCTGAAGAAGTGAGTCTGGCACTTTTTAGATGATGCATTTGAGACTAACAATACTATATCTAACACATATCGAACATGTCACATCATAACGCGATACATTTGTTAACTTGCAATTACAGATATTTCCCAGATGGGATCGACGTGTACTTCGACAATGTAGGCGGAGAGATGCTGGAGGCAGCAATCGACAACATGAACGCATTCGGCAGGGTAGCAGTCTGCGGTGTGATCTCCGAGTACACGGGCACCGGAAGAAGGGCTGCTCCCAACATGGTGGATGTAATCTACAAGAGATTGACGATCAGAGGGTTCCTAGCAAACGATTTCATGTCCGTCTTCCCCGAATTCATCTCGAAAGCCTGCGAGCACATGGGTTCGGGGAAGATGGTGTCCATTGAAGACATATCCATTGGGTTAGACAGCATTCCTTCTGCATTTGTCGATCTCTTCACTGGCGGTAATGTGGGGAAGAAGATTGTCCAGATTGCACAAGAGTGACTAAACTTGTAGCATGGCCAGGGGAAGAAATGAATCCCTTCTTTTACTAAAAATCCATTTTGATCTGGTTTTTCCAAGTATGGGTTACTAAAAGTCCGAGGTTATCAACCTTCTGATCTCATTTCTTCACCCTAAAATTCTACATACCGTCGTTCTTTGGTCTAATGTCTAAGCACATATGCTACACCACCAAAAAGCTGTGCATCCCAAACCAATCACCCTCCCAATTCGAATGTCTAGTGTCTAGATAACTGAATCTTTCTATAACTAGTCACCTGCAACCACACAGTCACCTGAAAGGCTGCAACACAGAGAGACATTAGTTATACGAGAGGTAGTGTGTTCGAATCTCCACGATCGCCAATACTAACAGTTGATCTAAGCAAAATATAGGAGTGAATCTGTGCAAACTTCAATATTGTGAGTTGGCTTTCGATTGAAAAGGCCTGGTGACTTGAGCATACCCTAAACCAATCACCCTCCCAATTCGATTTTTTTTTTCCTGGAAGGCTAATGTCCTTGTTGACTACGACAATGACCGCGACTATAAACAAACTCACGACTATGGCAGGACGATTCACTCTGCTCTCTCACGACCCCTACCTTAATCAAAAGGCTAAAGGCTTCGACTGAAGATTCAATAGGCGAGCACTAAAATGAGAAAGGGTTTTAGACTCGTGACGTGAGGCGGAATAACATTCTAAAACAAAAGTGCACAAATAAAAGTGTTTTGAAAGGCGTCAGCAAGTACGCAGAATTGAACTCTAACATGTTTGCTTGGCAGGCCGAGTTTTTGCGTTAGATCACCTAAAAAAGCATATGCCCCTTAGGTCGCCAAACTATGACAAGAGTTTCATCTTTTAAAGTGCAAGACATGTATGGCTTTAGGCCAAACCAAATCAGAAATGATTTGATAACTTAATGCTCAAATGAAGCATTCGAATTATTGGTATCAGATAGTTGGATGGTAAGAAAATCACAAATGGTTTATTTAGTTTCGATTTCACTTTATTTAATCGAGTCAGATTATCGAGTGAATATTTTTACCACGCTAAGGTTGGGTTATATCTCCGGGGCCAGATGTCCATTCAAGAAAGTTCTAGAAAGTAGTGCTCAAGTTGTTGACAACCACAAGTCTTTTTTTCCTGTTCTCCGCTCGAATATCGTCGGTGCTTTCTCCGCCAAACTTTTCAATTTCCCATTAAAGCATCCACATCAATGGAATCGCAAAACTAACCACATACATGGTCTATATTGCCACCACAACCGTTTTTGTAATCCAACTCATGTTTGATTTCATCAACATTGCAAATACATGAATGCATCACTTGATTCACTTTGCCATTGCAATTAGTGAAACCTAACTCAGTTTTATAATAGTAGAAAACCCCACTTGTTCCCCATTTCTTCAAACCAATTTGACATTCAAATGCAATTGTTGTAAGATCGATGCAATTTCATTATTCCACCACCAATACTCCCTCGTTGACAATGCATTTATTAATTTCCCCACATGTATCGATCCATTACACTCTTCCCTCTTTCTCTCCCTCTACAAAGTCTAAACCCCTTTTCAGTTGACTTTCCCGGTACAGAAACACATCCTTTCTGGTTTCCCCTGTAAAGAAACAGAGGAAAAAACAGAGTGAAGAAAAAAACAGGGGATCCAATGGAACCGATCATGACCAACAGGATCGTTGTGGCCAAGACCCACATCGATGGTGCCCCGAAAGTGACCGACTTCGAGGTCAAGTCCCAACTTCTGGCCCAGTCAGCCCAGCCAGCCGGCTCCGTCGTCGTCAGGAACCTCTATGTGTCGATCGACCCTTACCAGCTCAACCGCTTTAAGAGCGACTGCTCCCGTCAGCGTTACAGCAAATTGACCCCAGCCATTGCTCCTGGAGAGGTACATTTTGTGACTAATTACTTCATACTATCAACACCAAGAAACTGATTCTCTTTGGAACATCTTGTTTTTGTCTTCCAATTCCAGGAAATTGATTGTTATGGAGTTGGGAAAGTTGTGGCTTCAGGGGACCCTGAGTATCAAGAGGGCGACTTGGTGGCAGGGCTACTGACATGGGGAGAATACTGTGTGCTGAAACCAGCAGGATCCATGTTCAGGAAATTGGACACCATGGGAAATTCGACATCATTATATAAAATTAATTTAACCTCTCCCAACAACTCGAGTTATTGGGATCAACTGGTTCTTGACAAACTCTTCATTTTTTGTATTCTTTACTTTCAAGAGATGTCATAGCTAATCCAATGAAGAAATTTAACAATAAATATATATACCTCATATATATACATGAAAATATTGACAAATAACTAGCACGAGTATTATTTATCTTAACTCCATAATTACGAGGGTAGTACGAACCTTGTTCCAAAATTAAGGTATGGCCCCATACCTGCCCCATTGCTATTGCTAACAGTAACAGTTGGCCAACCATGAAACGTTATTTTCCAGCCATTTCCTCTCACTCACTCTTTTCAACTCACAAACAACCCAAAAAAAATATCTCAACATGGAATTACCAAACTATCCATAATGCATAGAATTTTACTCTTTTAGACACGGATCTCCTTGATGCATTAGAATTTAGAGCTGCCATTGTGACAACCACACAGGGTGATTGGTTGGTAGGGAAAAGAAAAAGAGAGAAATGCGATGATGGAAGAAGCACTCATCATCACAAACAGAAGCATAGTTATCAAGACCCACATCAATGGCTTCCCAAAAGAGACGGACTTCCAACTGAAGTCCGAAGCTTTGCCCCTTAACGTCGAACCCGGTTCGGGTCACGTCATCGTGAAGAACCTCTACCTCTCGATCGACCCTGCCCAGCTCAACCGCATGAAGAGCTACAGCACTTCTCAATCTCATCACAGCATCCAAGCTGCTGCTGCCGCCGCCATTGCTCCTGGCTCGGTATGATGCTTAGCTAGGAAATCTGTTTGGAGATATTGTTATAGATAGATTGATTGACATAAGTTGGGTCCTTTCATGATATGCAGGAAATTCGTGGTCATGGAGTTGGCAAAGTTGTGGCTTCAGGGGACCCTGAATTTCAAGAGGGTGACTTGGTGGCAGGGGAACTTACATGGGGAGAATACTGCTTGATGAAACCAGGAGTGTTCTACTTCAGGAAACTGGACTCCATGGGACTCCCTTTGTCCTGCCATGTTGGAACTTTGGGTAACTTAAGAGAGTTAACAGCATATGGTAGCTTAGCTGTAAAACAACTTGGAAGTAGTAATGATGAATGACATCTCTGGTTTTGCTTGCCATTTTGCAGCATACAGTGGGATGACAGCGTACGCGGGGTTATTCGAGGTCTGCAAGGTGAAGAAAGGAGAGAAAGTGTTTGTTTCTGCAGCTGCTGGTTCAGTTGGACACATAGCCGGGCAGCTGGCAAAGCTCCATGGCTGCTATGTAGTTGGCAGTGCTGGAACAACAGAAAAGGTTGTTTATCTCAGCTCTTCTCTCTCACAATTTACAACCATAATGTTTTTCATGATGAAGTTGAAAAATGAAAGGCTTCTTCATGTGTACCAGGTGGAATTGCTGAAAGGGAAGCTCGGTTTCGACGATGCATTCAACTACAAAGAAGAAGCAGATCTCAAGGCGACTCTTAGAAAGTAGGTGACTTGTAGGGCAAGTCTCGATCCAGTTCGTGTGCAATCAGGCTTCACTGCTTCGTTAACTTTCTGTGTGTGGGGTGTGATTTTGATTTCCCACAGGCATTTCCCACACGGGATCGATGTATACTTCGACAGTGTTGGTGGCGAGATGCTCGAAGCAGCAGTTGCCAACATGAACTTGTTTGGCAGAGTAGCTGCTTGTGGGGCGATTTCAGAGTATACGGGGAGTGGAAGAAAAGCTGCTCCTGATATGGTGGAAGTCATATACAGGAGAATCCAAATCCAGGGGTTTTTGTGCCCTGATTTCTTGAGTGTTCACTCAGATTTTATCTCTGCAACTTGTGATCATCTGAGGTCCGAGAAGATGGTCTCGGTCGAAGACATCTCGACCGGGTTGGAAAGCATACCTTTGTCGTTTGTCGGACTTTTCCATGGCAGTAATATTGGGAAGACAATTGTGCAGATTGCAGTGGAGTGAATGACAAGAAACAAAGACCAAATTAGTAATATCTCTCTGGTCAAAAGAACCAATTAACTTAAATGTTACTTTAGCTGTTGCATCCAGTGTGAGATGACATTTATACGGTGTGAGATACCGAACGAATGATGAAGCCAATTGGACTTATCACGACTTTGTTATTGTATCTCTATTATTATGCCTTAAATCGTTACACTCGACGGATTTGATAGTTTCACAAATCCATGCATTTGACATATAATGCACCCAGCTAAGAAGAATCCACCTAATACCTAGTGAGTTACAAAAACCTATATAAGTATAGAGATCCTAATCAGATGCAGTGCGACGTACGAAAACCTTCAGCTGACAGAAGCCCTGAAATAAGATTCTTGACTCTTCGTGCTCCATTGCCAGGCTTAAGCTCGGTCGAGTTAGCCTTGATATTTTTACTGAACCACCCACCATGGACAAACCCATCAGCACTTACCCCTAGTAACTCCGAATCAATCCTGTCAAGAACTGGATCGTTCTTCCCAAACTTCCTGGCGAAAGGTGCATTGCTGTCGACCATCCTCTGGTAATCATCTACAGTGAGGAAATGAGGGTGCTGCTTAGGAGGGTTATCCCAAGAGATGAAGTGGAGATCATGATTCACTGTAGTGTTCTTGAACTCCTCTGCGTTGCAGATCACCGTGTGGAAGTAGCCCTCGGGCGACGAGAGGAAGTTTGCATAGTACATTAGTACGATCCTGGGGAGATTGTCCCATCCCCACAGGGAATACTCGATGAATGGACGAGAAAGCATCATCCAAGCAGAACCTGCAGCACATAGTATTCATGATTTAAAACTCCTACTGAACAAATATCCTTTAGACTGGTAATGTTTTGCAGTCATACTAACCTGTGAAGAGCCTATATGCAGTTGGGACACTCCTTTTCTCTGTGGCCCAGAAAACATCTGATTTCTGCAGGCTGTATAGCCCCGGATCGATTATCACCGGCCTAGCTCTCTGATCTCTGCAATCTCCAGATTAAAAGATGGACAATCAATCTCTTGAACAAAGCTGATAAGCAACATCATACTACATTATAATTATCTGCATTTCAAAAGCAGTAGGAGGAAAGATGAATGGCAAGACTTACTCCTTCCAGCCGATGTCACTAGTATGCTCGATAAAGTTGAGGTCCCGTGGGATAGAAGACAATGTGTGCAGCAAATCTGTCACAAGCCACATTAATCAATCCAGAGATTAAGTTCTAAACTGTCAGCAAGTGAAACTTTCAACTTACAAGGTTGGTACTGGTCAACAATTCAGCCTAATCAACTACAATTCAGTGACATTTTCAAGCCGAGACAAGCATCAGCCATATATAGTAAGAAACCCCTGGTTAACCAACATGATTGAGATAGCATAGCACATCCAAATCCAGAAACTATGAGCTAAAGCTAACATTCAGTCATTCACACTTCACCAAGAAACCCACTTGCCCTTAACAGAGAAACACTACCCAAATCCAAATGCAATCCTCTCATTAACCAACAAAAATTTCACAAGAATTGAGCAAAAAGATCACCAACTATGAACATTACCATCTTGAGTGACCAAAGGGTAATCAGAAGCACTCAGATTGATGAACCAGTCCCACTCCCCACCATCCCTCAACAGAATTGCAGCAGCGTGAAGCGTGTTACTGACCATGGTCGGACCTCGATAGGTAACCAAATTCGACCTAGCCACCGCCCTCACATTACCCACTTCCCGAAAAACCTTCTCGCCTTCCTTAACCCACCTGATGAGCTCCAACCTCTCCTCCACCGGCGCCTCCAGGTCCAAATGCACGACGTACTGGTTCCTCGGATGGTACAGAGCCTTCAGCGCCCTCTTCAGATTCACCCCATCCCCGGCCGACCCAGATATCAGATAAGCGAGGCGAGGCAGTTTCCCGGCAAAAGTCTCCGTCTTGGCCAACTTCGATTCCGCAAATCGCGGGGAGCTCTGGCCTTGCTGCTGCTGCCGCCGGCGAAAAAGCAGCTGGGTAGTCGAGGCCGAATCATTCCATCCGGAGGAGAAGGTCACCGTGAGGAGGATCAAAATTGTGGAGATTAGAAGCGAGGAAATCAGCAAGAGGAACCATTTTTGCTTCTTCTGCAGCTGCTGCTGCTGCAACTTGGTGAAATTACCGGCGACGGTTTCCATTGCCAAGATGGGAGCTTTTTTGGGTGGAGAGGAAAACCCAAGTCAGGGAAAGAGGAGGAGAGAAAAAAGAATCTTCAGTAATGGCGGTGGTGGGGTTGGGGGGGAAAAGCAACGGTGGTGGTAGTGGGAGTAGCAATGGTGACCGTTACTGGAGGTAGACAGTGTGATTATGGAGACTCTGGTCGATCCGAAAATCAAACGCTCAACTACCAAAAATATTCCTATGTACAAAAAGAGGCGATTGATCATAAAGGTGGGATGGATTCTAGCCATCTTTCTTTTGGAGTTGTGCTTTAACTAGGACACGAGTCTGTTTGGTGATGGTTGGATTGAAGAGAAGTAATTAGCTGGGAGTGAGACATCTTTTTGATTTCCAGATGGAATAGCCACCTGAAATTACCTACTTTAATAATACAAAATTTTTGTTGTCCCTTAATGATTTTGGTTTAGGGATGATGATATTGACTCGAGCTTCATGTTTCAATCGGTGTGAAAGCAGCAGCTATTAGTATGTTAATATCTTGAAGTCGGTTAAAAAAAAAGCATGCCAGTAGTTTGACGTCGGTTAAAAAAAAAGCGTGTTTGAACGTAGGTACCAGAGTTCGTTAAGACTTAAAACACGAGTCTGAATACGGTAACTAAACAAAATGACTAATCAATCATTCTAGGCTGGCTCCAACCCAAGGAGCTAAAATGCTAAAAAGCCAAATTTGGCTCTTTTTCAAGCTCCAACCCACAAAAAAATGGGAAGCAAAAAATGGGTATTGGGAATTTGGAAGGGAAATTTGGCTGGGTTTTGGGGTGGGGAGTGATATTTGGCTTCCAAAAAGTGGGTTTGTTTGTCAGATGCGGAGAAGGGCGCCGGACGCGCGCCTGGGGCGCACGCGCGCGGGGGAAGGTCTTCCTCCGCGCGCGTGCGCCCCAGGCGCGCGTCCGGCACCCTTCTCCGCAGCTGACGTGCTGTTACCTTTTTTTTTTTTCTTTTAACTTTTGTAGTGAGGGAATTTGTTTTGCCAATTTGTTTTGGATTTTTTTTCTCTATTCTCATTGGTTGTTTGTGATTCAATTTGAAATAATTGATGTAGTGACGAAAAAACAATCATATTTTAACGGCCATAAAAAACGGTCATATTTTAACGACTAATTTTTGAAAAAAAAATTATCTCGGAATTAAAAAAAATTACATCAAAAAATTTGTATTCAAAACTAATAACGAGTTATGAAAAAATTAAAGTGAAATATAAAAATTAGAGGTCAAATAAGTATGGTTTATTGAAATAAATTGAAAAATGGAAATGGGAAGCTAAATTTAGCTTTTTATAGGGTTGGAGTGAAAAGTGGGTTTGGGGAGCTAAAAAGCCATATTTGGCCATTTGGGGAGCTAAATTCCCCTTCATGGGTTGGAGTTAGTCTAAAAAGGAAGGAAATTAACACCATTCACAAATTCAATAGTGTACCTCAATTTTTTCGATAACTTAGTAATTTTGTGAGCTAAAAGCTAAAAGTATGGACTATCATTTTCTTATACTTGAGATTGGACGCTAGAGACTAGAGTATATTTTAGGATTAAGATTGTTAAATGTTTGTTTTCTTCCACATGATTTCGAAATCTGTTATCACCTAACTTGCACAAAAACGACAACAAAGGTCACTTTAGGATTTGGTCCATGTTATAACGTGAATCGTGGTCCATGGACCGTGTCTTTTCTTTTTGTTTCGTTACAATTTTATTTTTATTTTTTTAGGGAAGAATGAGCTTATGGGAGTGTGGGACCATGTTATTGTTTTGGGCTTGGACTTGGAATGGCTTACACGATTGTTAAACCTTTATTTCCCCAAGGCGAGCCCGACAAAGCGAGGTCTAACTGGAGCCTCAAATTAGACAGATCGGGCCCAAACTGTAATCCATATTTCAACTTCCAGTTGGAGCTCATGGGCCGTTGAAGTGGCGTTCTATAATCCTTTGCTTTGAAAACTATTAAAAGAAACCTTACCGGTTGGTCCAATCGAAAATATCGAGTACCGAGTTCGAAATGATAAGGCAATTTTATCAGTACAAAACTGTTGAACCGTGATTAAACCACTATTTTATTACAAAACACCCGACCACTAACTTTTTCGGTATAACTTTTGGTACGGTTTCATAATCTTTGCTTCATAGTCATAACGACACAACCTCAATTGTACCTATAATATATATAGATTTTGGCCGCCCTGCACGATGCATGGCTCAGATGGGCATGCAGAGCGTTTTCCACTATAACCTGATGCCTAAGGTTGTTATCGACAAGACTGACCAATAAGTGACGATGGACATGTTAGGAGGGGGCGATTCTAGAGGAGATTTGTTGGAGGCGCGTGATTCGCAAAATAAGGGGAACGGTTTCGATTTTCGTGGTTGGTTTTTTCGGTTGGCTATAGACGAAAAGTTCATGAAAAAGTTGACATCCTACCTACCAAAAAAAAAAAACAGGGGAACGCCTTTCAATGCCCATTATATTAGATTAGATGCTGATTCTCAACAGTGGAGGACTCTGTTTTCTGCTCCTCTGTTCTGTTCCCCAACATTTCCTTCTCCTCCTTCCTTCGATGTTGGATAATCAAATCTAGTTGAGGATGGTGACGGCATCACAACATATGATCTCAATGATGGTCCAATATGATTCGAACTGTACAAGATTCCAAATGAAGGGTCCAGAATGCATACTAGCTTGATTGAATTCAATGAAGTGATGAGAAGCAAAGATTGATTCATGGGCAACGGCACATGGTTTCTGTGCTACCAGTTTTCTTGTAATTACTGTGTACGTTGCATCATCCAGCATCATGTTCAAGTCATGGTATGATCTGATTCCGAACCTGGCCAAACTACGGACTCTCCTCCTGTGGGGCATATCTCGTTTTCACGAGTACACGCCAGATCTTATGTGAATAATCACGAACCAAATACTCAGTCAGTAAACCAAGAACAACCCATGCTTATCTAATGTGTTTTTTTTTGTTGTTGTTAAGATATAGTAAAATAGAGCCGAGTCCTCTCCAAGCAGCAGGAGATAGTTGCCAAAATGACTTTTTACAGCTCTACTATGTATGAACACGACAAAGTCGCGTAATCCTTCAGATACGATCAGTTCCGCCGCAACAAAAAACTCATTCAAACGGAGAGAACGACATTTAAGTCGGCAACACTCAAAGAACTTTGCTCTTTCTTGTCCTACTACTACTATTCTCCTTGGAAATGATTGAAGGTGGGGTGACATATTCATAGAGGAGCTATCAATATCATGTCATGGTGGGGGGTTTTGCCTCCTAGGAAACGTCACTCACTCCATGACTGAGATCCAATGCTTTCGGTCTTCTTCCTCCTCCTCCCATTGTCTCTTGCTATAATCAAATCAACACCTCTTTTCACTCCTTTGTTTTCCATTGGGAATAGTGCTTTTTTAGTGTAAACAACTTTGTGGCTTGATTCGTTTTGATTAGAGTGGGGAAGACCCTACCATTTCCTTTTTCATGAATATGAATGCACAATTAGAACTTAGAGACATGTATCTCCCATTTGTTGATTCTTAGATGCGTTTGGAGGTCCTTTTTAACCTTTAATGTGCAAGAGATTAGGCCAAATTTAGGGTTGGATTCATGCTCCAATCACTTTTTTCTTTGAAGGTGATGATAGATTGATGGAGTAATTGCTCCAATTTAGAATGGACCTTGAGTAGTAATATTTCTGCTATTAGAATAAAGTATATGGGTTAGTGGGATATTTAGATGGATAGTTAGATCTTATTGTTGGGTGATTTGGTATTAGTAGGTAAGTTGCACAATTAGTGACATAGTGGAGGATAGGGGTTGTGGTATAAGGGGGCAAATCTCGAGTATGATGTTCACATGACGTCTGTGAGAACGTGCTTATATTGGCTTGTGTAAGTTGAACTAAGGGTAGATGCTCTGCAACTGTTGGATGGATGATGTGATATTATTGTAGATAAAAAAAATTTGCGATCCGATAGACTTGAGGCGTTGTGAGCATGTTCTCACAGACGTCCTGTGAGCACAATAGCAAAATTGAGGGGAGGAGATTTCGGAGTTGGGTCTTTTGTATTTAAAGCGTTGTAATTTTTTGGTGGGATTTCTTACATAGAAATTAATTAATTACTTGAATGTTCATTGGAGCTATATCTTCTTCTTTCTTAACTCTATGTTTGGTTATGTTCTTTTTCATATAAGGTGATATAAGTTTGTATTTAATTAGGTGTTACTTAATGGATTCAAACCTGCAATCTCCAAGTTTAAGATCAATAATAATGCCACTTTTCTATTACTCGCAAATGCTTAGAACCTCGAACTCTCTCATAAATTCAACTTTTCAAATTACTCGACCCTTAGGTTCTAGACCCCCGACATTCATAAAACCTATTACTAGTAAACCTAACATTTTAATTACAGAACTTATACGTTACGAAAATACATAATCTAACACTAAACTACATTAAATTTCTCTTGAACGATTTGAATCTCAACATTAACAAGTCATCGATACCGAGACCACAAAATTTACGCAAGGATTTCTCCTTTTTCATTACTTCGAACACGAAACTCACCACAATTCTACACATAAATATAAAACTTGAAACTCGATCACTCATTTCCCTTAGAAATTTCGAGAAACGAAACCAGATCAACACCTCGACTTCCCATTAACCAACAAAAGCACACTAAAAAAAGAACATTCAAAAAAGGAAATAGAACCACCAACCCAACATTATTCCTAAATGTACATCCAAACTATAAGCTACAAACACATTAATTTCCCTTTTTCACCATCCCAAACCCCAATTAACCCTCTCTTAGTTCATCTTTTCTCCCCACTAACACTTCTCCTCAACCCCATTAGCCTTCTTCTCCATCACCTCCAAAGACCCACCACCATTCAACTTCTTCCCATCACCTTCTTTCCCACTAGGCTTGTACCAGACAGCACACACCAAGAACACAGCAAAATTCACCACTCCAAGAACAGCCAACAACCCATAGAAGCAATCGAGCCTTCCATGGTTGATGTTATCAGCCAGCCATCCCTGTCCACCATTTCCACCACCAGCAGTCACTTTCTTCACCACCATGACCAGGAAGCTGCTGACGAAGAAGCCGAGGGAGAGCGTGGTGAGGAACAGCCCCGTGCTCATCGTCTTCATCCCTTTCGGGGACTGTGTGATGAAGAAGTCCAGCTGCCCTGTGTAGATGAATGCCTCCCCTGAACCCACCAGGAGGAACTGTGGGATCAGCAGGAAGACCGATATCGGGACGGTTTTCGTGGCGGTGGTCATTGATTTGGCGGCGGACAAGCGGCGGCTTTCGGCCAGGGCGGCGACGGCCATGCCGATTGTGGAGAGAGCTAGGCCGATTGCTATCCTCTGGAGGTTGCTGAAACCTGTAGTGTGTTGGAGAGGCAGGGGAAGTGTGAGAACAGAGAATGGTGAGCTAATTGGTAATTTTTGGGAAATATGTAATTTTTAGTCCTATTTGTTTGTAATTTGTGTAATTGAGTCCTTATTTTAGATGTTATTTTGGTGGGATAAATATATTGTTTGGAAAGAGTGATATATGATAGAAGTTGTTATGCATTTTAAAAATACGGGTTTTCGAGATTCGACGATAGTGATTCGTTAAAATATGATGATTGAGTTCATAAAAAAAACTATTCATCATTGAAAAACGTTTTATAGTGTTAATTAAGATTGTCTGGGGATGTAGCTCAGATGGTAGAGCGCTCGCTTAGCATGCGAGAGGTACGGGGATCGATACCCCGCATCTCCATATTATTTTTAAGTTGTTGAACAACAACAAAAAAGTGTAAATTTTGATAATCTCTTATGGTAAGTAACGATGAATTAAGCATAAGAAATCGAACAAATAACATTTAATTCTGAACAACTTAGATTTTTTAAATATTTGTCAAACACCAAGATATGATTTTTCGGTTGAAGGTAAAAATCAATCGAGAATTTGCTAAAAGTCGAATATTAAAAGCTAATTTAACCAAAGATCTAATGAGTTCATAAAAAATTTCGAATCCACCAACCCTAAGCAATATTTAATTTTGAGATATCGTGTAAGCAAGTGATATGTAGTTTTTGTACACCCTAAATATGAAATCGAGTCTTATGCTAGCTTCAAGAATTTCGAGCTTGTTATTAAAAAAAAATCGAGCTATTTAGATAAATAATTTTAAAGACCAAAGGGTAACCTCTCCTAAAATTCATGTCCAAAAATTGTAATTACCCCATGAACTTTTTTCACTTCCAACTTGACCACTAAATAATCATTAATTTGTATAGAAGTCCTTCTGAGTGCATAAAGTCTTACCTGGTTTGCCTTTCCATTTCTTCCACACAGGCATGATCAACCGATCATAGACAGCCAGAGTGATCAGAATCGCAGCCACGAAGAACACGGTAAGCGAACCCGCCGGAATCTCGAAGCTCCCAACTTTCCTATCCATGGTGGAAGCCTGCTCCACCGAGAAAGTGATCATCTGTGCATAAGTCGTCCAAAATATGATGGTCGTCGCCCAAATCGGCAGCAACCTCACCATCATCTTCACTTCTTCAACCCGGGTCACGGAGCAAAGCCTCCACGGGTTAGGCTCCGATCCCCTGCGGCCATTTTTAGTCTCAAAATCACTCTGAACACCAATTGCTGCCTTGTCCAAGAACTGAAACTGGTCGGTGTGCTGAATCCTTGTGCCATCAGGATTGCTCTCATACAGCAAATTGACATCATATGGCAGGTCCATCTTCCTCTTCCCAATTGCTGCTGCAATTACTTGTAGGATGTGGACTATTGGGCTCCCCATGGATTTCTTGTACCTGTACTTCTTGATTCCGGAGAGCAGGATACCAATTGCTATGAACATGGAGGCAGAGCAGATTCCATAGGCCCAGCTCCTGCCCACTTCGTCCTGTATGTAGACAAGGACAGTCACGGCCAAGAGGGTTCCTAAGCTGATGAAGAAGAAGAATCTGTTGAAGAAGTAAGCCATCTGAGCCTTCTCCTTGTCATCCTTCTCGTCGAATTGATCTGTACCGAAACCTGACACGCTCGATTTCAATCCACCTGTTCCCAGTGCTATGAGGTACAGTGCCATGTACAGAATCCCCATTTGGAACCCATTTGCTGGTGTGCAGGAGCTGTTGTTGGCATGGCATGGTGGTGGCCTCAGCTGTGGCAGTTTTGTGGCCACTGCTAATGCTGCAGTCCCCTGATGATAAAGAAAGTTCAAGGATCAAATGAGGGAATTGTTTGTTTTCTTGGGGGTTATGAAAAGATTGGAACTTTTTTGGGTCTAGTTTGCTTACAAGGGCTTGGACAACAGAGAAGATGGCAATGGTCTTGAATCTGCCTAGGAAAGAGTCAGCAAGGAAGCCACCAAGCAAGCACAAGAGGAAAGATGTGCCCATGAAGTCTGTGACCACATTGGCTGAAGTTGAACTTGGCATGTGCATTGTTCCAATGAGATATGTCACCAAGTTCACTGCAATTCCCATTGTTGACAGCCTCTCACATATCTCAATCCCTGGTTCAATAAGAGAAGGCTAGGGTTAATTAGCCTCTGATGCTGTAAATAGTTACTGGGAAGGTAAAAGTAAAGCATCATTTCCACCCTTTTTAACCAGATTTGACAGTGGTGGGTGAATCATTTTTTTTTAAGGAAACCTTTTTATCAGAAAGTGAGGATCCATCTTTTGATCTTTTCAACTTTGTGTTGTCATGCTGTATCTTTTTTTTTTTTTTTTACTTATTCACTTTGGTAAAAGTAAGTAACAGAGAAAGCAAGAGAAAAAACAATCATGGGAACAGGAAACATATTTCAGCTCAGCATCTTTGTAAAATGGGCACATGCACAGACTGACCTAAGATAGAATATTGTTTCTTTTATCAACAACATCTACCTTCCCAAAATCCCAAAACAGAAAATGACTTCACTGTTGTCATCATCTTCCACAGACCAAACATTTATAGTGGGAGCCTGAGCACTTTTGTTCTGTAGTAGTAGTCCAACTTAATTGACATATATTTTGGAAGTGAAGTGCAACACGTTATCATACATAATTTGCTTGTTTGTTTCTGGACACTAGTACAATATCCATTAGTAGTTAGTGAAGATTTTAACTCGTGAGGCTTGATCACTCTAATGAGAAACTGACATCAGATTTGGGTTGAATGGTAGCCATAGAGGCTGGATGGTCGAGAACTAGTTTGTCTCAATAATTATACGCATGTTTTTTGTGACTTGAAGTTTTTTCAGTACATAATATACCTTGTATTGATTCTGGAGGTTAATGATTAGGATCAAACATGACCCTTTCGGTTATTGAAGGCTCTAGTACTACGACGATTTAAGAATGCATTTCGTACCAATCATGTCATAGGAGCACCTGGAAACTGCTATTAAATATGGGACTTTTCTGGGTTTTCCTATCCATTTTCATGGTAAGAAATGATATGTTAGCTATGAACTCCTCCCTCAATATGGATTGCAGAAGCATGACATGAACAATGAAGCCAGAAACCAGCAATGGAAGGGAAAATTTTGAAGGAAGAAACAAACCTAGGATGAGTGCAGCAGGAACCCAACCACCAGTCTTGGACTTGTCAGCAGGGAAACCTTTGTAATCCACAGCATCTACTACTGTCCAACTCATCTTCCCATCCTATGGAAAAAGTTTAGAGCACAATAACCAACATGAAACAATGACCTCCAACAAAGTTGTTAATATTAAACAGTATTGGCCAATAAAATCAAGTTGTTATAATACTAACCATGGTTGCAAACTTCTGGGAGCAGGAGTGGATGGGAAAAGGAGCAGTCTTTTTGGTGAAAGAAAGAGAGAACTGAATAGAATAGTGAAGAGAAATGTAGTGCTTTTGTGTTTTGCCACTTGGGTCTTGAAGGGAGTTCCCCTTTTTATAGGCAAAATCTCTGAACTGGGAAAGAGAAAAAGGTTTGATGACTCTCCACTAAGGAGCAGTGGAAAGATACAACTGCTGCTGCTTCTTGTGTTCTTGATAAAGGCAATAGCTTTTGTACTCTCTTTAAATCAAATAAAAAACTTTTGGGTAGTGGAAGATTCTAGCAAGAGAGCATTAGATTGATCAATATGTATTAAAGTTGTAAGGCAAAGTTAAAGGTGATATTGATTGGGGAAGGAAGAAAAGGGATTAACATGAAGTAGAAAGAAAGAATTGAGGCTGAGAAAGGAATATGCAGCAAAATGGTGCCATTACTGTCACCTTTTCTTGCTTTATGTGGCTTGGATTAAGGGGATGGGTTTCTTGGCGTTCAGATTTCTGAAAATGCTGTGAACCACAGTAGAGCTAGCTGCTTTATAGTGCTTTTTCTGCCCCACCAGCTGCAATATAGACACTGATCTCCCTAAAGCAGTTTTGGACCTTGTGGGATTGGGATGGGGCTGAAATCAACTTCAGGGAAAAAGAAGAAATGAGGGTTAGATTGGGATTGGAAAATAGAAGGGAAGAAGAATACAACTACTGTTGAAAGCTATAACAAAAGGTTTGATCTTTCACCTGTAGATTGGTAGGTATGTGGCCTGTATTTGACTGCAACTTTGCAGCTGATATCTGTGAATGTGGGCAGATCTCATTTGTGTTGGATTGAAACTGGAACTTTGGAAATGTGGGATGGATTGAAATGAGTGTCTAGGGGAAAATGAAAGGCATATGGGTTGGAGATCCTATTATGGAAGTAGGTTTAAGCTTGCTAGCCTGGTACAGAAATGGTAATTACTGTAGATTCAGAGAAATTTTTGGATTAGGATCTCCATTGATTATGTTCATCATGTTCCTGCCATCTGTGTCGTTTGTTGCATATCAGTATATCACTCATCTCTGGAATGGTGCAAGTTGTTGGCACTTGTCAGAGGTTGTCCTGTAAATGAAAATGAAGGACAACATGTGATCTTTGCAACAGATGGAGATTTCTTTATGGCAGCTCATTGTGGAAGTTTCTGCAGAAATGGAGTGTGAAGTTATTACAAAGGGTTAATGCCTAATGCCTCCCTATATTTATACCATTTTGACAACCATGTCCTGATCCTATGATTTTTTTTATGAACACATCTTCATACTATAGATATAATGTCGTTTATCTATTTCTAATATGTTGGTTAAAAGTTGTATCCAAGTTGGTAATAGTTAGGATTTAGTCGTGGTTAGTAAGCAAGACATGAATGACTAACATGTCAAGTATATTGAAAAGCCATGTTTTGTCTCTCAAATTAACTCTTTAAGTCTCCCACATCATTTGGGACTTAATGAGGCCGTGACCAAATTATAGGGACATATATTTAATGTAGAGACTGGAAATGGATGAAAAATATAGTATAGGAACTTGTTTGTGAAAGTTCATGATATAAGGATGTAATTGTTGAATCGATATAGTATAGGGATTAACCCTAGAATAAACATTGGGTGGCAGGAATGACAGTATTTGATTTATTAGCTTATTTGGCTTAATTCACTTTATCCATTTCAAAATTGGATTGGATTTGGTGGTATTTATCCACATCCAGTGTATTTGTTATTATGAGATTGGGTTGAATTCGAACTGATTGAATTTAAGTTTTGAATGAGATTCGTTGGATTTTATTTGAATCTATATTTTGGTGTCTATAAAATTATTCAAAGTTGTCATATTGGTTCGATCAGGTTGAAATAGCGTCAACCGTCTAGATAACTGAATTCACACGATAATAATTTACATACCATAGCTCAAATTCTAGGTAATTCGTATTATCCAAAATTTCATTAAATGTCATCTTATCAAATTTTCATTATAAATCTAACTTGGTTAATCGACATTGTCACATTCAAATTCCTCATTGAAAGTTCTGCATGATTTCGGCTTTAGATTTCCTAATTCCTATTAAGGAGAAAATTATCATATAAATGAGTAAAGTAATTATGCCAACCTTAAACAACAATATTCTTTATATATGAATCATTTGGGATGATATTTTTCCTGAATCAGTGCGAGTTAGCCAGAGTAGACAATTGATAGAAATCTGGTTTTTATCCGATTTTTGGATATTTGAATTATTTTAGTTTAATAGAATTTGCTCGGACTATACAAATTGTAGTTGTGGATTGAAATTCATAAATAAAATACGGAAGAATTATTCCTTGTACCTAGTCTTCTAATCTCCGTAGACTTACTGAATTCTTTCCTCCTCTTCTCCTCGTCCTGCCTCTCTTGCTCATCCCTCACTTACCCTCTTGTTATTCCACAAATCTTCCCCCAATTCTATCTTCCTCGATCCCTAATCCCTAATTCTCCTCCCAATATCTTTTGCAATAAGATCTAACTGTCTTAAGGTAGCGAAATTTCTTGTTACATTATTAGCGACCTGCACGAATGGTGTAATGACTGCCACGCCGTCTCCAACATGGACCAGAACTACTTTGAGTAGGGTAACGAATATACACTATCCGTCCCCGATCCGACCCATTGTCATCCCTAATCAAGTGAGAAGAAATGATGATATTATCAATCTTGCCATGACATAGTTGTCCATGTATACTCGAGCTAGGTTTCAGGGGAAAGTGAAAGGAGGGGAAGTTGGGTACGACCCCCCTTCAAACGGTTGATTGGTATAATTACCCATTCCTCCTGGTACTTCAGTAACCTAACAACTTAATCCTATACAAAGTGTCACACTAGTCCTAAATGTTTTGTTTATGTATCGATTCAGTACTTCATCGATCATAATCGACTATTGAAATCAATAGATTTCTCTTTCATCCCGATTATGATCTCTGATATGATCGATAAGTGGAATCAAGAGATTTTTTTCCTTTTTCTTCTCCAAATGACAAACTGATTATATATGCACTTGAGTACTAAACTACAACTGATCATTTCCAGCCATTAATTAGGTAGTGGACTGTGTTAGAGATGAAAACCAATGGTGTGTAGCAAAGAAACCCTCTCTCTCTCTCTCTCTCTAGGTCCATTATTGAGAGACCTTGTCTCTCAAGGGTTGACTCCTAGGAGAATGTTTTCTGTGATCCACATTGTTTGGTAGTCTTGCATTGTAGTGTTCAGTAGGTCCAATGAAAGTTGACCAAACACAAAATTGATTCATTCACTTAATCATTGTGATCATTCATAATCACCCAAGTATATGTGTCTAGGTCCATGTGAACTCGCACGTGCCATGTCACTGAGCTCCACACGTGTCCAAATGGGGAATGACAAAGTTACAATAATTGATCATGCAGTGTATACTGGCTGCATAATTGTACCATACCAACAGACACCATGCACTGTTGCTGGCCCTAGCCACTAGAGCAGCATGTAACATGAGCATGTGAGAGAGAGAGGGGTAGAGACTAGAGAGAGTGTGGATTAGGGATGGCAACAAAACCCGAACCCACGGGTACTCTGTTGGATATGCCTTGAAGACCAAGCTTCAGCAAAACGGTGTCGTTGCAAGGATGAGTTCAGGATACTCAGACCGGTGTCGTTTCGCTCAAAGGAGACAACGACCAAAAACATCGTCCTTCGCAAACGCTCCTGTTCTTCCATTCTCGAGCACTTCATTTCGCAGACCTCTACTTTCTCACGAAGAACCAGGCTGCCGACCTTCACCCTACTCCTCTACAATCATGAGTATAGGAAACGGTTTGAGGTCTGCTCCATTCAAACGGTCACCTTGTGACCATATCTATTTAAAGAGTTCGAATGTTTTCCTGTGTGTGGTTGAGTGAGTGAGATTGAGTTATCTGCTCTGTACTCAAGGTTGAACCTTCTTCAGTAGGGAAATCATAGGGTGGTTTAGACCGGGTGATTGTCTCTTGGGAAGAAAGGGTTCTGTGAGAGTTTGAGAGTAATTTCTCTCGTTTGCAAAGAGCCAAGCTTCTTGGCTTGGCTAGGGTTTCTAAATTGTTTCCAAACATTCTGTAATTTTCCAACAAATTCAATAAAATTGTAGTTCTTCTTTTCACTCTGATTCCACAATTGGTATCAGAGCCTACTCTTTGAGGGATTAATCATCGCCAAAGAGCTTCGGTCGAAATGTCTGGATCATCATCAAACGCAGTCTCCTATTCCGCAAACACCAATCCTCCGTGGTTTGATGGAACAGACTATACAGTCTGGAAAAAGAGGATGAGGATCTACCTTCGCGGGGTAGATGGAGAGTTATGGGCTGTTGTTCGAAAGGGACCTATCCCAATGAATGATGAAGATGAAGAAGAGTGGAAAGAAGAGCAGAAGATATCATCACAGCTCGACTCACGAGCTATGCACATTCTCTTCTCAGCACTTTGCCCAGAGGAAAGAAGTCAAGTGGCACAATGTGAGTCTGCTAAGGAAATCTGGGAATCACTTCAGACCACTCACGAAGGTACGTCTGAGGTTAAGGAAAGTAGGATTGACGTTTTGCTAAATGAATACGAATCATTTGAAATGAGCTCAGGAGAATCAATATCTAGCATGTATAAACGATTCAATGATCTGATAAATAGGCTCAAAGGTTTAGGAAAAATGTTTGAAAGAAAGGATCTGGTTCGCAAAATACTTAGATGTTTACCTAGGGAATGGCTACCTAAACGAACTGCTATAGAGGAAGCCAAAGACCTAAACACACTGTCAATTGAAAGACTAGTAGGATCATTACTGAGTCATGAAGAAGTAATAATTCAAATGAATAAAGATGATCATAGACGAAGAAAAGTTATTGCCTTTAAAGCTCAAGAATATGACAGTGAATCAGAAACAGACATGGGAGAAGACTTTGAAAGGGAATTCGCTCTTGTAAGTAGAAAATTTCATCGAATGCTTAAAATGAAAAAGGACTTTCAAGCTAAAAGAGCAATTCGAGATTCTAGGCAATCTAATAACTATCTATCTGAGCAAAGAAAGGACCGAGAAGGAACAGAAAGGGTTCCTACTAAAACAAATGAAAAATATGCTTCATACAAACCATATCTGGATAGAAATACTTCAAGGTCTTATGACAGAGGTTTTGATGGTCGAGAAAGGTTTAGAATTGATAAGGAAGACCACAGGTCTTCCAATGAGAAGGAACTAACTGTTTGTTACAAGTGTGGTAAGACAGGACACATTAGGTCAAAATGCCCTGCAGGGATGAAAACCAAAGAAAAAGCCATGGCTGCATCATGGAGTGATCTCAGCTCAGATGAGGATCATGAGACGAAAGACCTAGCCTATATGGCTTTTGCCACTAACAAAGAAGATGACTGCCAATCTTCAAGCAGTAGAGATCATGGTTCTCCATCCAGCTATCAGGTAATCGATTACTCTGAGTCTGATGAAGAAACTAGTCTAGAACCTAAAACAGACTTTCTAATTGCTCTAGTAAATTTGCAAGAAGAATGTAAGAGACTGAAAAGTAAATACTGTTTACTCATGACTGATAATCAGAAATTAAAAGGGGAATTAATGAATGCAACTAGATCAGTGGTATATCAAAATGAAGAAAATCAACGACTAAACAAACTAGTGTTTGAGCTCACAGATAAAAATCAACGACTAAACAAGCTGCTTAAAGAAAAATCAGGACAACAGAATTTTAAAGGTTTTAAAAGGAAACAGAGCCCCTATACTGTATCACAAGAACATCTGCCAAGTAAACGATACCCCATCATTTATACATGTACTTATTGTAAAAGAAAAGGTCACCTAGCTAAATTTTGTTATGATTTGAGAAGGACTGGTACATCCAAAACATTTTGGGTACCAAAATGTACTAATCTATGACTGACTGCAGAGATTGGGAGTAAGTGAAAACATCTGGTTTCTGGACAGTGGTTGCTCCCACCACATGACAGGTAAGAAGGAATTATTCTCCTCTCTGAAATTTAAAAGAGGTGGTAAAGTTGTGTTTGGGGATGATCGTGTTGGAACAATAATGGGAAGTGGAACTGTTGGTAAAAGCCCACTTCCCACTGTTAGTAATGTATTATTAGTAGATGGGCTAAAACATAATCTTTTGTCCATTAGTCAGTTATGTTCAAATGAAAATAGAGTAGTATTTGAATTAGAAACGTGTCAAATCATCAGAATAAAAGATAACAAACTGCTGTTTACGGGAACAAAGAAAAACAACATGTATGTTGTAAATCTAAACTGTTTAGAAACCTTCAATGAAACATGTTTCCAAGTCAGCCTAAATGATACTGAAATGCTGTGGCATAGAAAATTGGGACATGTATCTTTGTCAAAACTGTCTAAGTTGTCTAAGTTAAAATCTGCTAGAGGAATTCCTCATCTAAAAGAGAACTCAAAACTGTTTTGTGATGCTTGTGTTGGGGGAAAACTTGCAAAGAAGAGTTTTAAATCCAAAAAGGACATAACTACCTCAGCTCCCTATGAATTAATTCACATGGACTTATTTGGACCAACCAATGTGACTAGTTTAGGCGGTAAATCTTATGGTTTTGTGTTAGTAGATGATTTTTCTAGGTATACATGGGTGTTTTTACTTGCATCTAAAGATGAAGCCTTCAGCTGTTTCAGGCTATTTGTAAATCGAACACTCAATGAGTCAGAAAAGGGAATTAAGTCAATTCGAAGTGATAATGGAGGAGAATTTATATCAGATCTGTTTGGAGAATTCTGTAATGAAAAAGGAATTAGTCATACATTCTCTGCACCTAGAACTCCCCAACAGAATGGAGTGGTGGAAAGAAAAAACAGAACTATAGTTGAGGCTGCTAGAACTATGTTGCTTGAATACAGCACTCCTAAAGTGTTCTGGGGAGAGGCTGTTATGACAGCAGTATATATAATCAACAGAGTTCTGATTAGAAAAACAATAAACAAAACACCTTATGAAATATTAAAACAAAAGACACCAAATGTAGGATACTTCCACCCTTTCGGATGTAAATGTTTTATCCTAAATACAAGGGAACATCTCTCTAAATTTGATGCAAAATCAGATCAAGCAATATTCCTAGGATACTCAACAAAAGGGCAGGCATATAGAGTATACAATCATAGGACCAAAAGAGTAGAGGAGTCTGTTTTTGTAAAGTTTGATGAATCTATGGGAACTAACAAAGGAAGTATAGATAGTATAGACTTCCTATTTCCTGTATCAACAGAAGAAACAATCACAGAAGAAGCTGGAACACCTAAAGATCCTCCCTCTGACAAGACTGAACCAGAGTTTGAACAAGAAAAGGAAGCTCCAGCATACATTCAAAAACGACATCCTCCTTCTCAGATCATTGGCCAACTAAAGGATGGAATTCACACAAGAGGTAAGTACCAACCAGGTCAGTATGCTTTTGTTTCATTACTAGAACCTAGAAATTACAAGGAAGCCATTACTGATGATGAATGGTTAAATGCCATGCAAGAGGAGTTGATTCAATTTGCTAGACTACATGTTTGGGAACTCGTTCCACGACCAATAAACTGTCTGATAATAGGAACAAAATGGGTTTTTAGGAACAAAACTGACGAAGAAGGAATTATAGTAAAAAACAAAGCTAGGCTAGTTGCACAAGGATACCTTCAGGAAGAAGGAATTGATTTTGAGGAATCCTTTGCACCAGTAGCACGAATTGAATCAATTAGAATGCTATGTGCATATGCTTGCTATATGAAAATTCCTCTCTATCAAATGGACGTCAAAAGTGCATTTTTAAATGGAGAAATAAAAGAGGAAGTTTATGTTAGTCAACCACCTGGTTTTGTTGACCACAAAAACCCAGATCATGTTTACAAATTATCAAAAGCACTATACGGTTTGAAACAAGCACCTAGGGCATGGTATGAAAAACTATCCAAGTTTTTAAAGGAAGAAGGATTCTGTCAAGGAAATGTTGACAAAACCCTATTTATTAAAAGACAAAACAATGATACTCTAATAGTTCAAATATATGTTGATGACATAGTATTTGGATCAACAAATCCTTCCATGTGCACAAAATTCTGTGAAAGCATGAAATCTGAGTTTGAAATGAGTATGATGGGAGAACTATCTCACTTCCTTGGTTTACAAATCAAACAAACTAAGTCTGGAATTTTTATAAACCAGTCAAATTATATTGAAACTATGCTTAAGAAATTCGATATGAACTCTGTAAATGAAAGCATTACCCCAATGGCCACAAACTTAAGATTAGACAAAGATGAAGGTGGGATAGCTGTCTGTGAAAAGAAATACCGAGGTATGATTGGATCTTTACTCTATTTAACAGCCAGCAGACCTGACATACAGTTTAGTGTGGGCTTATGTGCAAGATTCCAATCAAATCCTAAAGAAAGCCATCTTAAGGCAGTTAAAAGAATTTTTCGATATCTTAAGGGAACTACAAATGTAGGTCTATGGTACCCAATTTCTGACTCATTTGAGTTAGTTGGGTATAGTGACTCAGATTTTGGGGGTAGCCTTGTAGATAGGAAGAGCACTTCAGGAACTGTACAGTTCCTTGGACCTGCTCTAGTGTCTTGGTTCAGCAAGAAACAGGGTGCTGTTGCACTCTCCACAGCAGAAGCTGAGTACATGGCTGCTGGAAGCTGCTGTGCTCAGATTATGTGGATGAAAGCCCAACTTTCTGATTATGGATTTAAACTAAGTAACATTCAAGTATGCTGTGACAATACTAGTGCAATTTGTATGACAAAAAACCCTGTCCAACACTCAAGGACTAAGCACATTGAAATTAAATACCATTTTATTAGAGAATTAGTGCAAGCAGGGCATATCTGTTTGCAATTTGTGTCTACTGAATCACAACTAGCTGACCTGTTCACCAAACCCCTATCTAGTGAACGATTTCTTCAGCTGTGCACAGAGATTGGCCTCAAATCTTCTAATCAGATTAAAAATCTTTCAAACTAAAAAGTTATTGGGCCGTTTTAGCTCTAGGTATTTAGCTCGTCTCGAACACATTTCCAAAGCCCGCGCCTGCCTTGTCTCGAGACAAAACCATGCATGCTAAAACTAATCATTATTTTCTCTTTCCCGCTGCTTTTCTCTAAGAAGCGACTCTTCCTCTTCTTCTCCTCCCTTTCTCCTCAGCCTATATAAAGCTCTCTTCGAAGTCTTATGCTTCTCACTACTCAAGTTATTTAAAAGGCAGACTCTTCTTTCTCTCAAACAAATTCCTCCGAGTGTTTCCAAAAATGAGTGACTGCCTTCCTCGTCCTTTTCGATTCGACGGTCTGGTACACACCTACTCAGGGTACATGTTCCATGAACCAAGAGTGCTAAACCATCATCGATACCTTCAGCACTTCGATAAACGAAGAATCCATCACATCACCCAGCTGGATCCTTATGAGTTCAATGTCTATAAATATGACATTATTTCCCTCATCGAAGGTCTTGGCTGGGATTTCCTCCTTCGACAGCCTCTTCACCCTGCCTGTCCTGGTGCCATCAAATACTTCTACTCAAATCTGCAAAGTCAAGGAGTAAGCTCGAGGAGTTTTACCACCTTAGTGTATGGTCACCTCCTGACCATACCAGTTGATGCCCTCAATGGCATACTGAGCTTTCCTTCCCAAGGACTCGGGATAGCACATCCCTCTGAGTTCTGGAAGCATGAGTTCAAGATCGAAGTTGAGTACAGCAACTTCTCCACCGAACCCACTGGCGGATCCGATGTCCCAATCCCTGCTTCCTGGCTTCCACCCAGACTGCGAATCTTCCATTACTTTCTGACTCATGTTTTCTTCCCTCGATCCTTCAATCAAGATCGAGTTCTTCACATGGACCTATGGATCATCTCCAGTGCTACTGCCAGGAGAAAGCTTGACTTTGCAAGTATAATGTTCGGGCAGCTACTTCCAGTGGCTGATGAACATTATAAGGGGCTTCTTCCCTTTGGTTCCATCATAACCAAGCTGTTAATTAACCTGGGAGTTGATCTCTCCGAGTTTCGAAGTGTTTCGTCGACAATGTATGTCAGTGCCTTGAACGTGCTTATGGTGCTGGACCTGCCCACAGAAATTTCTCCTCCTCCTCGTCCCTCTTCATCTCTTCTTGGCCCTCCTCCTAAGCCCTCCTCTGCCAAGAAGGCTAAGTCTGCTGGTGAACCAAGCAAAACTGGTGATCTGGTTTTCACCATCTCTGAGGGGAACTCTTCCTCAGATGATTCTGCTGCTTCTGCTCCTCCCTCCTGAATCTCTATCTCCTTTAGTGTGTTTTGGTAGTTGAGCTTATTTTGTTTTCAGGATGATGCTCCTGTTCAGGGGGAACTGGGTTAGCTAGCTTAGGGGGAAACTAGTTCCTCGTCTTTTGTACAACTCCAGTTCCCTGGTAGCTCCTACTGTAATCCTTTTCATTAATGCAATGTAATGGTTTTTGTTTTAGGTATGGTCTCTGCTGTTTTTTCTTTCTCTTATTGTGTTTGCAGGAACTGATCGCTATGCTTGGACGAAGGGGGAAATTGTTGGATATGCCTTGAAGACCAAGCTTCAGCAAAACGGTGTCGTTGCAAGGATGAGTTCAGGATACTCAGACCGGTGTCGTTTCGCTCAAAGGAGACAACGACCAAAAACATCGTCCTTCGCAAACGCTCCTGTTCTTCCATTCTCGAGCACTTCATTTCGCAGACCTCTACTTTCTCACGAAGAACCAGGCTGCCGACCTTCACCCTACTCCTCTACAATCATGAGTATAGGAAACGGTTTGAGGTCTGCTCCATTCAAACGGTCACCTTGTGACCATATCTATTTAAAGAGTTCGAATGTTTTCCTGTGTGTGGTTGAGTGAGTGAGATTGAGTTATCTGCTCTGTACTCAAGGTTGAACCTTCTTCAGTAGGGAAATCATAGGGTGGTTTAGACCGGGTGATTGTCTCTTGGGAAGAAAGGGTTCTGTGAGAGTTTGAGAGTAATTTCTCTCGTTTGCAAAGAGCCAAGCTTCTTGGCTTGGCTAGGGTTTCTAAATTGTTTCCAAACATTCTGTAATTTTCCAACAAATTCAATAAAATTGTAGTTCTTCTTTTCACTCTGATTCCACATACTCACCCGATCCAATTCGGTCAACGCGGGTAAAATTCGTGTTGACGGGTTTTGGGTTTAAAACCATTCACTATTCATCGGGTTGGGTTGGGTTTGGTTTGAGTTTAGGTAAACTCGATCCACTGGTACACGCCTACACCCATATAATTAATTTTTTCGGTATATTTAATATTCTAAATAACTAATCTTATTTATGTTTGTGGAAACATGTCTAATTTTTTCTTTCTAATTGTGTAGAATGAAGTTGATGTTATCGAGTGGAGAGTTAAGAAACTTAATTGAAAGTTATATATGGATAATTTGTATTGAGAGATTGATATTTGACTTTAATTTTGATATGAACTTGTTATTGTAAATTTTTTACGACAAAAACCAGTGGGTACCCAGGAACCCGCGGATACCCACCAGGTTGGGTTGGGTTTGAGTTTTTCAAACCCAGTGGGTTTTACCCCGAGTTTTTTTCACAGACAAACCCATGAGTTTGGGTTCGGGTTTGGCAAAACCCGACCCAACCCGACCCATTGCCATCCCTGGTGTTGATTAAGATTAAATATAATTCATGTCATGATGTGAAAGGTAGCGACTAATTGTGAATCTTAAATCACTTTCTTGCATGTTCTCTCAAATGAAAGTAAATTCATGGGTTTAGTGGCGGAGGGAGCATTGGCGGAGGGAAGCATTGAAGAGAGGGGTCTGGGGACCTCACTTAGCAAATAATGGGGCAATAAAATCGTTTAAATACATAGGGTTTAGTATGATCCTTCAAATTTAGAACATCGATGCTAGCTCAACTAAGGATCCCAATCAACTTAAAGGGCTCGTTTGCTTGTTGGATTTGAAAATGAAGGTTTTGAGTTTTAAAAACCTTTGGATTTATGATGGATTTGTTGCATCATGGATTTGGAAGAGTACATTGTTTGTTTAGTTGATTTTTTATCATGGATTTGTGATGGATTAGTCTCACATTTTTTCCTTCTATTGTCAAATCCCAAATAAAATGTGGGATTTACAAATCCGTGGGGTCCACGGATTTGGATCTAAAAAAGGGGTCCAAATTGTGTCCCTCAACAAACAAAGGATTTGTGTCAATTCCATGATGCTTGGGATTTGGGTTCCAAATCCATCACCCAAATCCCACAAGCAAACGACCCCAAAGTTCATAAGATACAAAGACTTTATTATTATTAAATTTTGAAGGTCCCCAGTCTTAAGTTATGGCGCTACTGCATGGGTTTGAAGTTTGTACATGCCCTCCATACATTGTGCTTAAATCAATACTAATTTAGAGTGTTAATATTCAAACACACGATCACTTGACCATTCTAGCTCTGATACCATATCATTTTGTCATAAAACATTTTATTTTACCAACTCAAATAATTAAAAAAATTAATTATAAATTTTATGCCACTCTTTTAGAATTCCTGTTTAGACAGAAGAGGTCAAGAATGAAAACCAAATGGTGATGATTGATGAAGCTATAGCCAGCACCAAGCACCAGAGACAATCCATATGGGGTCCTGATTTCTTTTCATTCTTCCTCCATATAATTCCCACCGCCATGGCCACCCCCACCATGAAATCCCTCCTTTTTCTCCCCACTTCTGGAAATGTATGGGCGTGATTAGCATGGATGCATTCTCCATAACACTTTTGGTGAGAAACCCCATGAGATGATAGCGATGCAAAATCTTCCTTCAAATTTCTTTACCATTTCAAGTAGTTTTCCAAGATAAGGATAATAATATTTGAATTGAGGATGATTGTTATTGTTGTAAAAGAAAACTGTGTTAATCTATATTGTAATGAAGTGGTTAAGTATCATATATGCACCTCATCCAACAACTCGAGTTACTGAGATCAGTTATCTTATGACATGATATATTAGAGTAGGTTTGTCATTGAGGTCATGTGTTGAAGTTCTCACGAATACCAATATGAATCGTTGTCTTTAAAGCACACGTGGTATTACAGGTTTGTGCAAACATCAAGCACATAAGCTGGTTTTCGTTTGAGGGGGGGGGGGGGGGGTAAGGAAGTGCTTAAGTATCATACATGGGTGATGAGTCTCTCCCAACAATTCGAGTTATTGAGACCAGTTGGTTTATAGCATGATATCAGAACTGGTTTGTCTTTAAGGTCACGTATTGATCATTGTCTTAAAAGTTAAATAACTACTCTTATGTAGTGGCAGAATCAGAAATGGATCAAATGGGCGCCATGTCTAGCTACAAATGTGATAAAAATGGGGCCAAAAGGATTTGTTTCCCAAATCAGTTTTGACTTTGACACATTCACAATATATTGAGATAAACGATAGCCAACTTCTTCAAATCTTCACCACAGAAAGAACAAATTGGAAAGATGGTCTCTCTCTCTCTCTCTCTCTCTCTCTCTCTCTCTCTCTCTCTCTCTCTCTCTCTCTCTCTCTCTCTCTCTTTCATTTCTCCATCAACTTTGGGGATCGCCGACCCAACCACCTTCTGCCAAATACACACTGCCAATTCCATGCCTCCACCTCCAGCTTCCTTTTCTGGTTTATCGTCTATTGGCATGCATCAGAATCGAGAGTACTGTCCATGGAATATATAAAACAATAGTAATGGCTTTCATGTTATTATATGCTGCTGTGTATGGCCATACTGTTCACAAATATATGTGGGAATGGAAGTGACAGTAAGCTGGGAACTCAATACTGTTTGCTCTGTTCAATCCACCATTATTGCCAACAGCTGTAGTGTCTTTGCAGCTAGTAGTGCTCTTCTGATCTATGCAAATCTTACGACCATAGATCTGTACTATGTTTCCCTTCACTTGGCTATAATAAGTTAGTTTTCTCTAGAATTGTCATAGTCAATTCATTGGGTAATTTTGACGTTGTCATATGACTCATATGGGTATTGGGTCGGACCCAAATGATTCATATCACTTTAAGGATTTTGGGTTTGGGTGTCACGAACCAGTTGATCCCAATAACTCGAGAGTTGTTGGGAGAATGTTATATTGGATCTTATACCACCACTCTCTAATACGCCCCCTCAAATGAAAGCCAACTCATGGACTTGAAGTTTGCACAGGCCCACCATACCATGTGCTTGAAAGACAACGATTAATATTGGGGGTCGTGGAGATTCGAACACGTGACATTTCGGTTCTAAGCTCTGATACCATGTCATGAACCAGTTGATCCCAATAACTCGAGTTGTTGGGAGAAGGTTATATTGGATCTTATACCACCACTCTCTAACATTGGGTTGGATTTGAATTAGGTCAGATTTGGGCGGTCTTATCTAAAAGGGTCTATTTGGATCCAGATGATTGTAACACAAAAAGACGTATCTACATCATCGCATTAACAACCTTCAAAACATACAATATTGTTTGTATTAGGACCGGATATTCATTTTCGTTTTTGTATATCCAATAATATGGGTTTCAATTTAGACCCAAATTAAACAAATATGATTTGAGCCAGAATAAGTTGAATTTGGACAATACGCAAATATTGAGTCTTTTTTTGCCATCCCTAAATACTTTACCGATATTGACTCATTCCGTGGTTAAGTTGTCCCCTTTGTTTCCAAGGATCTCACGAATATGCCTCTACAAATTCAAAACCAACTATATTAGACTACTAACTACACCATTAATCCTCCATATGTTACATCTGTAAAGTCTAGTTGCACTTCCGACGAATAGGACAAAGAAAAAGTTACAAGTGAAAGCAAAATTTCCCCTCACCAAATCCCACTTTTTTGCATGAACACATAACAAGAAATTAATGTTAATTAAACGTGCTAGCTAGTTGATATGGAAATACTGATCTTTTCATTTGTTTATTAATCTCTAATCATGGATTACGGTCAGCAAGAGCCTGCGAGGCACTCTTAAAGCAGAGACTTATTAATTGGTTATCTTTTGTGAAGGAGACTTATTAATTGATTAATTGATCATGTTTTAGTGGGGATGGGTTCGACAAATACGAGACATACATGATTTGCTTGCTTCAACGTTAGTAGCAAAGGGACTTTCAAAATGTGATCATGATTCATACATGATTGAAAGAGATTAAGTGAAGTTGGTAATATGATAATTATTAGTCTTAATATGGGTGTCGGCGAGGTTGCAGTACAAAACTCAGCATACAGGTTTGATCGAATGAAAAATTAATGATCAATTATTATGTTATTTTTTAAAGGTTTTTATATTATTTTTAAATCAAATATTTTACTGTTTTGATTTTTAATGTATTATTATTATTATATTATTGTAATCTTTTACTTTTTTGTAAAAAGAAGTAAAAACTAAAAACAATAAATTCTGGGCCAGCAGCTGCTACATTGCTTCGGATTGCGACAGGCCCAAAATGCATTCCTCTAAGGCCCTGGCCCAATAGAAAAACTATACTGCTAATTTTTCCTTTTTCTGTTTCTTTTTGCGAAGTCTAATCCCTAGAACCAAAATCTCCCAAATCATAGGTCTCAATGACAATGAGGCCTTCAGGCTTGAAATGATTGCCCGCCAACCCTCTCTGAAAGCCATACAATTAATAGCCGAGCAACGGTCAACCGCCGCGGTAAACACTCAACCTCTTAACAATGCACACCAACTGTTCGACAAAAGTCCCCGCCGAGCCAGGGCCGACGTCAACCGCTCCATGGTCGAATCCCTTCAGAGAAAGGCCCCATCTGAAGCCCTTCAGGTCTTCAGGAGCCACTTTCAGCTGGGACACACGGGCACCATCGATGGCATCACTGTCGCTCTCTCGCTTAAAGCTTGCAATGGAGACCCATTCCGGGGCTCTCAAATCCACGGCATCTCCGTCACTTCCGGGTTGTGGCCGTGCATCACCGTGGCGAATTCGTTGATGAATTTGTACTGTAAAGCTGGGGACTTTTCCAAGTCCCTGTGTATTTTTGAGAGGCTGGCTGACCCCGATACTGTTTCGTGGAACACGGCGCTTTCGGGTTTCAGGAGGAGTGAAGATGCTCTGAGTTTCGCCTGTAGAATGAGCTCTAATGGGGTTGTCTTTGACCCTGTAACTTATACCACCGCGCTTTCCTTCTGCTCGAGGAATGAGGAGTTTCGTTTCGGATTGCAGTTGCATTCCTCTATAGTGAAGTCCGGGTTAGATTGTGAAACTTTTGTTGGAAATGCTCTCATATCTTTGTATTGTAGATGGGAACGGCTATCGGAGGCCAGGAGAATGTTCGATGAGATGCCGAGTAAAGATCTGGTGTCATGGAATGCAATCATATCAGGGTATAGTCAGGGAGGGATTCAAGGGTTGGAAGCAATATCTATGTTCGTTGAAACTATTAGGAGAGGGATTGACCCTGATCATGTCTTACTTACTGGAACAGTTTCAGCTTGTGGTCATGAGAAGAACTTGGAACTGGGGAAGCAGATTCATGGGTTCAGCTTAAAAAGAGGGTATGGGAAACATGTCTCCGTTGGCAATGTCCTTATCTCGACATATTCCAAGTGTGATCGTGTTGAAGAAGCCATGTCAGTGTTCCGGCATATGAACGAGCGCAATGTTGTTTCGTGGACTACAATGATTACTATCAATGAAGAAGCTGCGGTGAAACTTTTTGATCAGATGAGATTAGACGGTGTCCCGCCTAATCATGTGACGTTTGTTGGTCTTCTCCATGCTGTAACGGTTCGTGATTCGGTTGAACAAGGCAAGAAGATTCATGGGATTTGTCTGAAATCAGGTTTCTCGTTAGAGCCAAATGTTTGTAACAGCCTCATTACAATGTATGCCAAGTTCAAATCCATGGATGAGTCGAAGAGAGCGTTCCAGGAGCTTGATCAGAGGGAAATCATAACTTGGAACGCCCTAATCTCGGGCTATGCACAGAGCGGACTGAGTCAAGCAGCGATTCAAACGTTCTTATCAGCAGTCACAGAAGCGAAGCCAAACCAGTACACTTTCGGCAGTGTCCTGAGCGCAATAGGCGCAGCTGAAGATGTCTCTCTAAGACACGGCACGAGGTGCCACTCTCAGATAGTAAAACTCGGGTTCAACACCGACCCTGTCGTCTCTTCAGCTCTCCTCGACATGTACGCAAAGCGAGGAAGCATGTCTGAATCCGAACGAGTCTTCTCCGAGGCACCTCAGAGGACACAGGTCTCATGGACGTCAATGATCTCGGCCTATTCAAGACACGGAGACTACGAATCAGTCATGAACTGGTTCAACCAAATGCTGTCTGAACAAGTAGAACCCGACTCGATCACATTCCTCTCCGTCCTGACAGCTTGTGGGAGGAAGGGAATGATCGATAAAGGTCGCGAACTGTTCGATTCCATGGTCCAAGACTACCGAATCGAACCATCACCCGAGCATTACTCTTGTATGGTGGACATGCTGGGGCGAGCAGGGAGACTCGAGGAAGCGGAGGAGATGGTGAACCAGATCCCAGGTGGACCCGGTTTATCAGTGCTCCAAAGCTTGCTCGGTTCTTGCAGGACGTATGGCAATGTGGAGTTGGGGGAAAAGGCAGCCGAGGGGTTGTTGGAGATGGAGAGGAAGGATTCAGGGACCTACGTCCTGATGGCTAACTTGTATGCAGAGAAGGGGCAGTGGGAGAAGGCGTCGAGGTTCAAGAGAGCAATGAGGGAGGAAGGTGTCCTGAAGAAGATAGGATTCAGTTGGGTTGACGTTGATCATGCCGCAGATGGTTCGTTGGCTTTGCACGGGTTCTCGTCGGGGGATATGACTCATCCAATGGCGGAGGAGATTCATGGGGTGGCGGGGTTTGTGGGGATGGAGATGAAGTTCCTGAGAGAGAGGGAGGTGGAGTGGTATGAGTGTGGTGTGATGTTGGAGTCTGTGGGTTGTATTGGGTAACATTATTTTTGTAGTTCCATTTTCATGAGCTTCTGTAGACTGTACACCATTGTTTACTCAATGGAGTCTGGGTTTCTGTCAATTGATGGAATCTGCAGCTTAAAAAGCTTTCACAGAATCATTTGGTTGAGGGTTTACAGAGAAAAGGAGTAAGGGAAGCAGGAAGTGTTTTTTTTTTTTTTTTTTTTGTTTGGTAAGAAGCAGGGAAGTGTATTTGATAGAAGGAATGCAAAAAAAAGGGGGTTTATAGACAAAAGGAGTAAGGGAAGCAAGAAGTGTATTTGATAGGAGTGCAAAAAATCGTGGTCGGCAGGATTCGAACCTGCGCGGGCAAAGCCCACATGATTTCTAGTCATGCCCGATAACCACTCCGGCACGACCACTTGTTGTTTATTTGGCGCATTCCATTTATATAACCTTAAAGCGAGTTTTATTTTGCTTCTCCTTTATGAAAGTTTTATTTTCCTAGAATGTATCCTAATTTTTGACCTAATTCTTCTGATGATCGATTCACTAGTCACAAGCTGAATGTTAGTTAACTCCCAAAATGCAGTACTTAGCATGCAATTGGTCTCCTGACCTTATTTCATCTTGCTTAATTAACTCTCAAAATACAGTACTTAGCATGCAATTGGTCTCCTGACCTTATTTCACCTTCACTCTTTACGATGCTATGTTAATTATACGAAATTAATACTACATTGTAAATGAGCTAAGTTGAGTCCAGTTTTAACCTCTAACTTATGTTCATCTTGTCAAAAAATAAATAATTTGTTGACCATGACTCGAATTTTAACCTAGTATATATACCCTAATATATTTTAGATATCATTGCCCTTTGCCCCAAAGTTGGAAAGTGGAAACCTACACTACTAGGATCTTAGGGGTCGTTTGTATACCGCATAATAACTGTTTCACAGAACCATTAGTATCCCTCCTAAGTCCTACCTATCATCCACTACACAAATCCTAACCAAGCCAAAACTAAAAGCAAAATCAAATGGGACTAAAGCTGCACATTCAGAATGAAAGGATGGAGAATTGGTGATCAAAACTCAAAATTTATCGTCATAACATTAAAGTCTCGCAAAACAGCAGCTCACTCTTTAACATACAAAGCATCTCCACTTCAAGTTTTGGGGAATACATATCAACGTAATTTGATCACTTTTAAATAACACAAGAGGACATGGAAAAACAAAAGATTCTTCTGTGTTCACCCACTAGTGGTACAACTTCATCCAGTCAAAGCCTCACTCCAAGGGAGAGACCAAATCAACGATCCAAGAGGCCCATCATACCGAGTACACCTATCTATGAGAAGTTGTTTTTCCCTTAGATCAACAGCTTCTCAATGGCGTCCTGCAATTTCACAAAGGGAAGAACAAATTAGAACATTGTACTTGACGTCCCAGCCCCCAGGCATCTTCAATGAGGTAAAAAAAAAAACACTTCTGTGATGGAGACACCAAATACCTTGAGCTGTTGTATCTGGGATTTCAGTTGGCTTCCTTCGTTGGTTGTCACAGAACAAGCGATGACAGGTCTCGTGACACCGCAGGCTCTCCCAAGTGCTTGCTTTGAAGGAACAAAAACATATGGGACATTCTGAAAAGACACAAGCATAAGGTGGAGGCAATCAGTTTCATGCTCACATCAGAACACTTTTGACTCAGTCGCATGTAATGGCTGATAAATTATGCAGGTATATGAATGCTAGTGTTGTAAAAGAACTGCACAACCAGCGATATAGTTCAGTTCCTCCAGATATCTGTCTGTTTGCAACCTTAAGTAGAATTAGATTTAGAAAAGATTCATGGCCAAATCTTATAACTAGGGACTTGCTCATACTATTTTGTTTGATAGAATGACATACTCATGGGACATCATACGATCTATAAGTAAAAGAATCCACACTAAGGGAAAGTAGCAGCACAAGAAAAACAGGGAACAGGTAGGTGAAGAACTATTTGCTTCCAATCTCGATTAAAGGAATCCATTTTCTAAGCCAATGTATTCAATTCAAACCAATCACACTTTCATCCTTTCCAAATGGAAGAGCACCCTGATATCAGTTCCAATACTTAGAGAGAAGGCATCCTATGCAACCTCAATGAACTACCAGCTAAAAGACCAAGCAAAAACCTCACACAGGTAGGTTGAACACCATTATAGTTTAGACAAAATCCAAAGCTGAGCACCTAATCAAACAAAATTCAACCAGATGGATTTCCCATCCTCATTGACACACTAACAGAAGTCCTGAAACAGATAAAAAAAAACCAACCTTGTCCTCAGCAAGCAACGGGAGGTGGAGAAGAATCTCAAGTGGCTCTGTATCAGCAGCCATGACAACGAACTCAGAGATACCCCTATTCAGTGTCTTGGTAGCTGAACCAAAAGAAACCCAGCTGTGTTAGCACCACAAATCAAAAAAAGCTTCCCACTTTCTTGCTATTACCACACAAACAAACCAAAACCAATGACAAGTAGCAGGAACCCAATACCTTCATTTGCTCCCTTCTTGAGCTGCTTGTAGTTAGCCGCTTGCTGAACCAGGTCGAGAATGGTGATTGAGAGCTGAGCATCAGCCAGCGGGTAGGCCTTCGGGTTCACTGCTTCCAAAGTCTGCCCACAAGCATTCAACAACCATAAATAAAACGACAAGCAGCAATCAGCAGCAGCCGAAACCCTAAGAAGCCGAAATAGAACCAGAACAGCTACCATAGGAAAGAGAAGCAGGGAAAGGAACAGAGATGGAACATAGAAACGTACCATTTTTGCAGGGAGCTCGACGAACGCTGCTAGGGTTTTCCCGGCTCGTTTACTGGGGAGGTTTTAGGCTTTGATTTGCGCAAAAGGCAATCAAATATATAGGCGACGCCGGCTTGGGCGGAATTTTATGACCTAGTGGCATGGCGGCGATTCAACCTGCACTTCTGGTTGTGGGTATCCAACCCGGTCCAATATCGACTATGAGTAAAAATCGACTTTTGGAATTAAACAAATTGGGTTGGATTGGGCGTGGTATTGGCCACAACACGGCCCACTTTTCACTTGACCAACACTCGAAGAGTAGGGCTGACAAACGGTTATTCGATTATTGGTTTTGTACTAATAATGGTAGGGATGGCAAAAATATCTGTAACCGTGGATATCCACCCGAATCCGACCTAATCGGGTAGGGTAAAACTCGAACCCGAAGGAATTTTTGTGGGTATGGGTAAAACCCGAACCCGAATATTGCGGGTAATGGGTGGGCATGAATTTCTCACTATCCAATCCGAACCCGCCCGATTATACACATGCATATGTATTTTGTATATAAATAATCATTATTTTTCTCTAACATATTTTATATTTAGCATATAAATATAATATTTTCATGAAATTGTGTCGTTTTGATTAATTTTCTTCATTCTAGTGAATTATGGTCGTACTTTTCCTCTAATGTAATGTGAGAATACGTGTGAATGTTAACATATTGGTTGGAGTTATAAAGAGAAATTATTACCCATAGATAACCGTGGATACCCGAAACCCGAACGGGTATGGGCATGGTTTTGATTTTCTACCCATTTCTTATGTGGGTATGGGTATGGGTAAAACCGGAACTACTTTGGGTAGGGTAACGGATACGCACTATCCGCACCCAACCCGACCCATTGTCATCCCTAAATAATGGTGGTTAATCGATAATCGATCTCTTTAGTAGTTCAATTTTGAGTAATTGATTTTGTTTAGTGATTAACTGATAACTGCATACTATTAAAGTCACATAGTTTTCAGGGTTTTGAGTAAAAGGAAAAGTCCAACGATTCAAAACCAACCGAAGTCAGGATTCCAAACACCTAATTTTGCAACCTATTGCAAACAACCTTCCACACAGAGTCTCGAATGTGTCAAATAGTCGGAACTCGAATGTTGTTATTGGTTAGTGGATATTCTCCAAACTAATCGATAACATATGGTTAATCAATAAGATTTATCGTTTGGTTATCGGTAAGCATTTTTGCTCTGTGGTTAACCACTAATCGTCATATAAGCTAGTGATTAACTGATACCGAATCGATTAGCACCCCCTACCGAAGAGGAAAACAATGTCGTTTTACACCTAACCCTAATAATAAAAATATTTTATGTATGTTATAAGTGTTTATGATAATATAATTATAATATATGACAATTATTGGTGTTATTAAACTTCATGGCAAAATAGTTATAGAAAAAAAGAAAAATAAAAAAGTATGTGAATACTCGGTAGAATCATTAGCAATTATATCCGTGGACTCCTAGATACTCATACACCCGTGAGTTGGATTGATTTTTCGCTTTCAAATCCTATTAGAAATTTTACTCGATTCTTTTGGCGAATGACCCAGTTGACCCAACTTCACGATGCCTCAAATTAATTCCAAGACTTGGAGTTATGGAAGTCATCACATTGAGTTGATTGTTGTGTGGGGTTTCACTTGGATGCATGAGAGTGTCGTTTATAATTCTATTAGCATCTCATAATCCATTCCACACCTCTTGTCTTTGTTCATTCTCTTCTCTATTTTTTTCTTATTCGATTTCATATTGGATTTGCTTCTGTCAGTGCTTTTTTTATCGAGGTGCAAAGGTCTTGAATCGCAAACACATCCCAAATCACATACGGAAGTTGACTAGTTGAGATGGGAGACAGGAAAACGACGCAGCATGTTGTGGTACACGTGTCGAGACGCCATTGAGTGAGCCACGCTATTTATACTACCTACTAATTTTCCTCTGCTCACAGATTCTCGGTCAGTTCCTCTGTCTCGTTCTGCAAGTTCCACAACTCAACTCCACCAGAGAAGAGACGCGGCAGCGCCCTTTTTTTTTTGCCATTAGCTTCTATCTCCGCGCACAGAGGCAGAGGGAGAAAAGAATGGGTTGGGTTCGGAAGACGGTGGACTCCGTCAAATCATTGCAGGTCAAGCAAGTTCTGCTTCGCGCCATCGGTCTCGGTAACTTCCCTCTCTCTCTCTCTCACCTTCGAATCTCCCTGTGTGTTTTTTCCCGAATTTCGATCTTTCGGTTCTCATCAATTCGCGCCTTGCATTATTGGTCTCGCAGCAATGGTTTTTACGTCGGGGTTGATTCTGTGGAAAGCGCTGATGTGCATGACGGGAACTAAGTCGCCGGTCGTGGTCGTGGTTTCCGGGAGCATGGAGCCCGGTTTCAAAAGGGTGAGTCTCGTAACCAACTCATTCGACTCGTATCAATCAGAAAGTTCGGAACTTTAAATTACCCATGGCTGCTCTGTGTTTTTATCTCCCCTGCTGCGTGCGTTGCCTGTTTGTTGAAATGCCTGAGAGAACAACAAAACCAACTGGAAACGTCTCTGTTTTTCTTTTGTTGCAGGGTGACGTTCTGTTCTTGTACAAGAACAAAGATCCGATTCGGGCAGGGGACATTGTGGTATTTAATGTGAAGGTATGCATATTTTTTTTTTCCCTTCCTCTGTCTTCTGCTCTTCTTGATCCTGCAAGTTATAACACTAATCTCGAACCAAAATTTTCGATTTCAGGGGCAAGATGTTCCTATAGTTCATCGCGTAATCGAGGTGAGAAACGCTTGTTCTCAACAGCTCCATTATTGCCGTCGTCGTGAGAGCAGTATGAACAAAGACACTAACTTGCATTCTTTTTTCCCCTGTTTAGGTTCATGAGCAACAAAGCGATGGGGAAATAAAGCTACTGACTAAAGGTACTACTACCATCTTCAAACTTGGTTGAAGTTGAGCCAGTCCTTTTGGATACAGACCCGAACTGTATGTAGTATGGCCATGAACCAGTTCATCTCAATGAATCCGTTTGTTCTCGCCATTACTAACCTTTCTTTGCTCTGTCGACTGCGAACTTGGGTAACAGGGGATGCAAATGATATGGATGATAGGTTTCTGTATGCTCGTGGTCAGCTATGGTTGAAGCCACAGCACATCATGGGCAGAGCAGTCGGGTGAGTCAGCACTTTCTTTACCATTCATTAAAATCCCAGGAGCACAAATTGCTATGAGAAGTGGATTGGTGTTCTCACTGTTCTTTATAATTGCAGGCTCTTGCCTTACGTGGGCTGGGTGACCATCGTCATGACTGAGAAGCCTGTTTTACAGGTTGGTTAAGCTTCTAAGTGATCTATTTTGCTGCTGCCTTTATAGAACCTATTCTTAAGTAGCTTACTTCTAAGTTCTAACCCTGATCATGGCTTCTTGGTTGCAGTACATACTCGTAGGAGCAGTGGGTTTGCTGTTCTTGACTTCAAAGGACTAGAGCACGAGAAGAAGCTGATTGACCAAATTTGCTACGGGTTCACAAGCTTTGTAGCACCCCCCTCGAATGATGTAATTTTGCCTCTTAGTTTTGCAAGCTACTCTAGTTAACTACAGACCAATCTTTTACTCCAAAGCCATTGGAAAGCTAAGTACGCATTCCATACTAAGAACTGCCAATTGGCCGAAAACCTTGTATCATAAGATGCATAGTCTATACTTTATATCAATCATATCCTATATGCTCCCTCGATCAACGACAAATGGTGACTAATCTCAGTCCTCGTGGATGATACTACGAAGAAGTATGCACAAAGCTCTAGCTACAACGAAAACCCCTAGCTGTCCACAAGCAAAACTTGTAGGGCATGCACAAGACTACAAGATAGGTTCACAGAGTACCAGAGATAAGAGACTATTAACTCAATACTGGACCTATTAGGCTCCTCTCTAGAAAGACTCCAAACGCTTTGCTCATCTTCTAGAACTAGGTTTCACCAAACTCCCAGATATGCATCTGCAAAAGCGAAGAAGATGACGTACTCTGAATGCTATGATCATACATAGAGCATAAGGTTATGGCATTCAAGAATGGGTTCAACCAAAAATTTCCACAAAAGATCCTTGGTCCTGTGACAGGGATGTCCTCAATATACGACTGAAAGAACCAATCTAGACACCATAAGCTATAATGACATAAATAGAATTAAGAGCTACTAAACCAGTGGAACTATTGTTACCCCGTGTAATCGTGATGGAAAAATTACATGTATATCATATATGAACTGATATCATATACGAACTGAGTCAGAGGTCCTATGCTTCTGATCTAATAAAGAGCAGCAAAAACTTTGGAACAAGCAAATTATTCGAGTTGAGAAAGCCAACAATATTACACCATCCGCACTGTTTGTCATGACAAAAATAATGATCATGTAAATTGGAAGTATTAAGAACACAGAATTGAACCTCAGTTCTACTTGGTATCAAGCAGCCGATGATGCCCCAGACTGAAACTGCTTCAACATTTCACAATGAGGAGTATCCCTCACAAAACCCCATTGCATTCTTTGTACCTCGAATCTACAGTTCTGGGAAAGGAGAGATACGTAGTCTCTCTCCACATTTCCTTCCAGCACCATCCTGTTCCGACTATCGACCGGATACTCCTGCTCAAACCTGGCACTACTCTTGACATAAAAATTGACCCCTCTCTCCGTGGTGTACCTATGCTCATAAGGATATGACCGAGAGAGAGAGTAGACTGGATCGGAAGAAGGCAAGAAGCTGAACAGCAAAATCACAAGAACAGGAAGCAGCTGAATCAAGGCACGAACATTGAACCCAGATCCATTATCACCACCTGTTCTAGCTCCCATCCCACCACCAAAGTTGAAAGTCCTGAACTGGGTAGCCGCAGGAGACATTCCGCCATAGAAAAACTGCCTGAAAATCTCGTCAGGATCAAAATCTTCATAATACCCATTGTAGACACCACCCCCACCACCATGGCGCCTAGGTGCCCGCCTCTCAAAGACAGGATCTTCACTTCCAGTCACATCATACTTCTTCCTACTCTCTTCATTACTCAGACACTGAAACGATTTGGACACCGCCTTAAACGCTTCCTCAGCTCCCGGTGCCTGGTTCTTATCCGGGTGCACTTTCAGTGACAACTTCCTATACGCCTTGCGAACATCCTCCACGCTACAGCTCTTCTCCACACCCAAAATCTCATAATAATCCTTCTTCTTATTAATTTGCCTTACCATCGTGACCTGCTCCTCAGTGTAAGTTGCAGACGACGACGAAGATGAAGAAGACCCCGCCGCCGTCGCGGCACGATGTCGAAGTTTGGATTCTTTGCTCGCCGGACCATTGGCGTTCCCAGCGGCCTGATCAGACGATGACGACTCCTTCTCCGTCTCCGCCATTAGATCGTCGATGGAGAGTGTCGGATCGAGGCGGCCAGCTTTGGAGAAGAATTTCGCAGCGCGAGCTCTATCCCCCGATGCGAGCGCGTCCTTCCCGATCCTCAGGCACTTCAAAGCGTCGTCCTTGTTCCCGTCCATTGCTCTTCGGACCTACACCAACGAATTCAATCAGCATAACCCAAAAACCCTTAGAACATCATCAATCGGATACCGTCGGGTTTGGGGGGGAAAGCGTGAGACGAAGCGAAACTGGAAACGGAAACCACGATCGGAGAAATATGGGGAATGAAATGTGAAAAATTTGAGGATATAACTTACGGATTAGTCGGGACGGGGAGTTCAGAGACTGAAATCGGAAGACTTCTTTTCTGGGATTGAAGAATTTAGGGTTTCATCTCAACAATTGGGAGATTTTAGGGAAGAAATATCAAAGAGGTGGAGAACACAAATTGATCTGATGAATCGTCTTTGCTTGGTTGGAAGTTGGAACTCTCGCAAGTATTCGTCAGCCAGCAAGGCAAGTCGTACAGAGTTGGGCCTGAGAATTGGGCCATTTCTGTCCAAGTAAAGACACGAGATGATGAGAGTTTTGAAGAATGGGCCTGGGTGCTATGTTTTTCAAGTTGGCTCAAACCAGCCCAATGAAGGTCGTTTCATCGTCCACCCCGAAACATACGGCGACTAATAGTTACTTACTCCTCGTCGCTAACAAAATAGCATGGTTTAACAAATCTTATCACACAGGTCGGTCCGACTAGAAATATCAAATATGCAAATAATTGAGTATCTCAACACGTATAAGATACCATTGGACGAAATTCATCGTACAATTAAAATATTGGTTATCTCATTTGTTTTATAGCAATTTAAGGTAAGGAACTGATTCATGAATCGAATGTCAATATCAATCTGAATATAAATTTTAAAATTAGAAATTATTCACAGTACAATTATTAAGTTAAGTTATACTCTTTCTTTTGACAATTTTTCAATCGACTCCTTTCCCTTTCAAACCATAAAAAAACATATTTATTACACTAGCGATTAATCACTTAGCATAACCAAACAACTTAATCAAATTCATGAAACGAAAGAACACTCAGTCCCTAGCTTCACGCTGTTAAATCAGAAAGTGTGTAACTAGCGTCGCACTTTTTTACAGCGGCACCACCGTATTATTTAGGATATTAGCCTAAAACGGTATGGAAAGTCTCAATTGCCATGGCCTGCGGTAGATGAGGCTCAGCTCCATTCATACGACGGCGTTCTAATCTACACGACAGCCTCCTTTGGCGTTTTGAGAAACACGCTATAAGCCTTCACCGTCTACTTCGATCAGATTTCGGAACCCAACTTCGATTAGGGTTTAGTGTTTGCGAAGAGGAAGGTGAAGTAACAGACGAACACTCAAGGAGTCGTCCAGCTCGCCGGCGTTGAGGTCTGCGATGGAGGCCGAGAACCAGATTCAGGTCGACCTCGGCCATCTACTCGCCTTCGACCCGTATCACCACTTCGCTTCTCCACCTAAATCCAGGTCAGTGCCTTATGGCTTCCGTTTTCCCTCTTCGAATTGCTCCGAAGGCGACGAATTTGACTTCTGATGCAATTAGATTTGATTGGCTGCTGCTTGATGTTGTTGGTTATGGCGTTGTGCTGATTGTTTGCTTCTTTTACTGTTGAGGCTAGGGAGGACTTGGTGACGGAATGTTTGAGGGCGGGAACCAAACTAGTCCAAGCGATTACTGATGGTCTTTTCAACTTGTCTGCGACGGAAGCTATCGAAGGTCCGCTTGTGAAGCTGCCCAAACCGACCACCAGGCTGCCCAGGGAGAAACATGTAAGTTAGCTAGCTTTCTCAGTGTTTTTTGAGCTGCCATGGGGATTGAATGGTTAGCTAGACTAGTGAATCCTTCCAAATTGTGGTGTGAGAGTGATGGTGGTTTGCAGCCTTGTTAAGATTGAACGACTAATGATGTTAGAGCGATTGTAGAAACATGAATGCGTGTCGTCAAATGTAAATTTAGTTGCGCCTACTTTGTTCGCTTTAAAGTTTCTGCAACGGCTTAAGGCAATATTGGGGTAGCACTCATAAGTTGTTTGCGTATTTTTGCAGTTACCGAGGCCTAAGCCTCCAACCAAATGGGAGATGTTTGCCAAATCAAAAGGTAACTTTTTTACTTTGTAGTCTACATGGGAGCGTGAAAGCTTTTTGCCTGTGCGCTCCTGAAGTTCTCTATATCTAGTGACTGGGTGAACGGTGTTTTAGTCTGAAATTTATGCTTTTTTGCTGCTGTGATGTTGTCATGCAGGAATTCAGAAACGTAAAAAGAACAAGGTCTTGTGGGATGAACAAACTGACAGCTGGAAACGTAGTTATGGATATGATCGTGTCAATGACGATGCAGATGTTCCTATTATCGAGGCCAAGATGACTGATGGTAATGATACTTTCGAGTCATAGAAGGAAATCCCAAGTGAAAATAACTTAGTTTCTTTTCTATATTTTGTACAAAATATACTACAGACGTTCCTCCGGATTATATGATCAACAATCTCTGATGTGTATCTTCTCTTTTACTCTGCACTTCTGCAGAACCTGGAAGCGATCCTTTTGCCAAGAGGAAAGAAGAAAAGAAGAAAAGAGTTGAGAAGACGGAGAAGAATCGTTTGCAGAATTTAAAACAAGCTGCTAAAGTTGGTGCTTTGCCCAGGTATTTTTTTCCATCCTTTCCTCCACGACTATAGATTAAGATGTACCTTTAGGCACGAGTGACCGCTTTGGGAAAATGATTTCCGTAATGCCATTCATTTACTACTGTAAGGGTCTTTGTTGATAGTCATGCCTGGTCAATGGGATTCTAGATTTAAATTTTCCCTATGTATGTCCTTTTGAATGACATTCATTCAGAAGATCAGCCCTTGTGTATTAAAGCTTCTTATTTTCTCTCTCCAGTGTTTTAGACCTTACGTGAACTCTTTTTCTGCAGCCACGTTCAGCTGGCTGCCACAGCATTGCCTATAACAGGAACACAAGCAGCGCCAAAGAAAATTACAAAAGACGAACTGGGAAATGTTGCTGGGCTTGCTGCAACAGCCACAGCCAGTGGTGGAAAGTTTGATAAGAAGGTGGCTGGTGAAAAGGCCGTCAAACACCAAGGAAAACACCGCAAGGTTTTTTCCCCCGGAGAGCCCTAGTCGCCATCCAAGTCCAGTCCTTTCATGCTCACACCATCTTCTTACTTATTTAGTTCCCTTCCCTAATATTTCTCCCCTATCTCTTGTTCAGTTCCTACCCGCCGCTGAAGGTTCGGGGATGGGCAACCGAGAGAAGGAACAAACTGACAAAGTGCTGAGCAAACTAATGGCGAGAAATTCGCATGAGATACTCAATGTTGGCAAGGTAAATAAGACTCTGATCCTTTTCTTCTTCCAGTTCATAACCGATTGAAATCAGACTCAATAACTCGAGTCGTTGGTTTGCAACACACAGGCCGTTAGCATGTACAATGTGAAGAAGCAGAGAGATGGAAGGAATCAGAAAGGGAGATCGTCCTTCGACTCGAGTAGCAAGTTGAAACCCAATGGGAAACCCATGAAAGGTGACAAGAAGTCTCCATACCAGAAGTCTAGAAAAGGCGGCAGCCATGGTGGTGGTGCCTCAAGGAAAGGAAAGGTTGATTAGTACTAAGAGCCCAGTTAGTTCTTTAACTCCACTATCAAGTATCAACCCCAATTTTGGTCATATGAAGTTTTGGATTTTGTAGGTCTCTGTATTTCCTGCATTTTATAATATGGCCAATTCTGTCTTTCAACCCTGAAATCTGAATCCCCCTACTCACGTGCCTCCAACAAAGTTAGTGATTTGGTCATCTCATGATTCATATACTCTAATTATCGTCTTATGACTCAAACAATTAGATTAACGAAATAAGAAATTTTTACAGTGATTCTTGACACCCAAATCTCTACAAAATTGGTTGGCAGCATTTACATCCTTAATAGTCGCTCATTGCCAAATGATGTAGGCACTTAATGGATTCACAGAATTTGGACAAAGAAAGAGAGTACCCAAAATTCCCTAGTGGATGTGAAGCTTTGGTCAAGATTATGGGGCGGATATTCCAAAAATTTAATATCAATATACAGCCTGCTGCTTCATGCATGGTTTCAAAACTTTTATTAATTTATTGTAGCCTTTGCAGAATTATGGTAATATGTTTCTAACTTCAATTCAATGGTAAATAATTCGATTCATGTTATTCATTTCTTAATTCGATTCAAGTTATTAGCTGGTTTTAACTAATAATTAACCTTTAATAAATATCTCCACATTTCTATGATTTCTGATATCTGAAACTGAAATCCAAAAACTATAAGGACCGAGGCCCACCGATATCGGGTAGGGTTTAAAGCTCAAAACTTTGCAGTCTCTCCCGCGATATTCGTCTCTACAGTCTATCCTGCACCGCTCCCAACTATCAAAACCGGCGGCTTTCCTTTCGATAGAGGCAAAAACAAGCTTCAAGTTCCATATAAAAAAGCTAGGAGGAAAGCATTGACTGCTGGGTCGGAGCAATACGCCAGCCCCGCACTTCCCTCTTACCTTCTCTGCTCACTTCCTCTACCCACTTTCACTGTAGAGAAGAGAATTAGAAGAGACGGAGGAGGAGAAGGATACCCATACAACCTAATCTCCTTATTCGCTCAGGTAGATTCCATACGCTATTTCATCTGTGTTTCCCCCCTCTTGGGTTTTATCCTATACGCCGTTTCTCCGTCGAAAGATTCCTTCTTCGGCCGATTTGGTCGGTGCCCATCTGCAGAATTTGGCATTTGAAGGAACCCATTTTGTTTTTGTTTCTGTTTTACCAGGCGGGGAGAGTGACAAGAGTAATTTAGGTATGGGTAGGGGTTGCGCGCAAGTTGCTCGACGGAATAACGGAGGGGTGGCGTTCTCTAGCTCTGGTGTCAAGGTGCAGCTTTTCCTCCACGAGGCTACGGATGCTGCCGTTAAGCCGAAAGCTCGTAGCAGCAATGTCTTCTTCGCCAGTGTCAATCAGGTCGGGAAGGGATTCGGGCTCTCTTCCTCAACGAATTCGCTGGAGAATTCCTCTACCGCCGTGCTTACTGCTGCTAATGTGCAGTTGAAGCTGGTGTCAATAGCTGAGCCTCCTCTGACTGTAGAGAGCAGCAGCAATGCCGAGCTGCAGCTGGGCGAAGTTCTCGACACGGTGGTGCAGACCACGAAGAAGAACAAGAAGGGTGGGTTTAAGTGGAGAATCAAGGTGAGGAATCCGGCGTTGAGGAGGCTGATAAGTGGGGGTATCGCGGGAGCTGTTTCGAGAACTGTTGTTGCTCCTTTAGAGACCATAAGGACTCATTTGATGGTTGGGAGCAGCTGCGGGCATTCCTCGTTCGAAGTGTTTGATAATATTATGAAGTCTGAAGGCTGGACTGGTTTGTTCAGAGGCAATTTCGTTAATGTTATGCGTGTCGCTCCAAGCAAAGCTATCGAGGTTTGTTTTCCAGAGAATTGTATCATCCATTGTTTCATTTGCTTTGACATCGAATTGGTTCACTGCTTTGGGTGCTGATTTTGTTCATTCTTGTGTGATCTGATTGCTTTCGTGTAATGTGCTTCATGAGAATGATCCCCTTTTCATTCTGTCTCATATAAGAGCAGTCTTTTATGGTCATCCAGTACAATTTTTCCCTTATTAGATGACAGCTTAATATGGAACAGTGTTTTGAACCATCTATGTTTGAACATTCATTTGTTCCAGTGCACAATTTGCGCATATGTGAGCTGTCTTGGTGTTTGCAACTCCTTTTCTTTTGATGATTGTGATTGATTTTCATTGTGCACTTTTTCTATTTGTCTATATAGAAGTTATCCTAGTTTCTTGTCCACTAGATTTGATTCAATTTTGTTCACAGGTCCTTTCTACCCTTTAGCTTCAAGTTTGTCCAACAAATGAATGAACATCGTAGTTTCGAAGCAAACTCTTAGATTCTGTATTGTGAGCTGCCTGTTATTTTGACGTCATATCACCATCACAAAAAAGAAGTAATTCTTCTGCATTAGTCGAAGTAAATACAGACTTGAAACAGACGTATTGGCTTTTTATGTTAAACCTATTGAAACAGAACCTACAATCCAAATACAGTTGCCAACTTAATACTCACTCTGCTTTTGGATTCTTCTGCAGTTATTTGCTTATGATACCATTATGAAGAACTTGACCCCTAATCCTGGGGAAAAATCGATGCTGCCAATTCCTGCATCCTCAATTGCTGGTGGCCTAGCTGGCATTACTTCCACCTTCTGCACATACCCTCTCGAGTTGCTCAAAACCCGAATCACAGTACAGGTAAAACTGGCCCCTCTAAGTAGTCCACACCTCAATTCGTTTGTGTGCCTGTTTCCCGGAGTCAACCTCAAATTGTTTTGACCTCGGACCACGTGCAGAGAGGAGTATACGATAACCTGCTCGATGCCTTCGTAAAGATAGTCCGACAGGAAGGGCCCGGGGAGCTATACCGAGGTCTAACCGCAAGCCTAATAGGGGTAGCGCCATACACAGCAGCCAATTACTTTGCATACGACACCATGAGGAAAGCTTACAAGAAGGCTTTCAAGACCGAGGAGATCGGAAATGTGATGACCCTTCTTATCGGGTCGGCTGCTGGTGCAATGTCGAGCGCTGCAACTTTCCCTCTGGAGGTGGCGAGGAAACAAATGCAGGCTGGGGCGCTCAACGGAGGGCACTATCGCAATCTGTTCCACGCTTTAGCTGGGATCCTTGAGAAGGAAGGATTGGGAGGCTTGTATAGAGGGTTGGGACCAAGCTGCATGAAGTTAGTACCTGCTGCTGGTATATCATTCATGTGCTACGAGGCTTGCAAGAAGATACTGGTTTTGGAAGAGGAAGCTCGCGTAGAGCAAGCAACAGGTTGATGAGCATCTTGTTTTTCTTCTTCTTCTTCTTCCTCTAGGGGCTAGCTTCGGAATTCGCCTAGATACTATTTGATAAGGGTGTCAGTTTGCCCTAAGAGATGTGACCTTTGTTCTTTTAGATTCTAGGCCAATAACTCTTTGATGAGTTTGCTAGAGAGCTCTTGTGTTGTATTAGTGGGTATTATGGCTCAACATTCTTCCCTTTCCACCTGAAAATCGAGGGAAGAGATCATTCACCAATTTTGTAGGTACACTAAACTTAAAAGGCATGTTAATGATCGTTGAACATTATTAGTGATTGTATGCTCGTTGGTCTCAGTGTAGTACTGCTGAACTGGTGTTGATTCTTTCGGTTAAGCAGAGTTTAAACCGTTTACAAGCTCGTAACAGTCTGCTTAAACCGTTTACAAGCTCGTAACAGTTACTCTTACGGATCATAAACCGTTGCTATTCAACTTGACAAAAACATGGGAATATTTTGTTACGACGAGAACAGGTTACATATGATTGGGAAACCCTAGAAAATAAACAAACAGCTAGACTAAAAGCAAAGAAGATTATCAAAGTCTGACAAAATTGAATCTCAGATGACAGATGGGATTTTCAGTTTTCTTACAGACCAACAGAAAGATTTCGCAGCTTCACAATCCCTGCCTTTTACCAAAGGAGAAAGAGGAAGCAACTAGAAAACTATTTTGGTCATTATGCCCTTATGCAGACCACACCTGCATACTGAGAACAAGAAGAAGAAGCTTTTCAGCTCTGCTCTTCACCGTCTTCTCCTGCCGCTGCTGCCGCCTCCCTCTCTTCAGCAGCAGCTGCCATGAGTTCATCAAAGTTTGCAGTCTTCCCAAGCAGTATTTCAATCTGCAAAAGAAAATGATTGTATTATTGATGCAATTAAGATATATGAGAGATGGCTATAACCCATAACAATCGAACGCACAAATGCTGAGACAAACTTAAATGTTTTACCTTGGCTTTTTGGACAGGCCGCCCCCTCGAATCATCCCTCATGTCAACCGTCGAGGTCATGATCTCTGAAACAGGACATTACTCAGTTGCTTGAGCATTAATACGAACCGAGAACATGTTCAATTCATTAGGGTTTGGGATACAAAAGAGAGACTTACTCTTCTCCACAGCCAATCCATTGTTCTTGAGAATTTCAGCAACGGTTACAACTGTGGCGATAGCTGCAGACACAAAACAAAAAAAACATGGTGCAACTAAGTAAGAGTGATTTACGCACTCCCACGAACAACTAGGGCGCGCTTATAACGTAGAACAGCAATGATCAAACCCAGTCTACAACATGAGCCAGAATAACAGAGGGCCAATGAGGGAAAAAGGGAATACTGAAGGGCGTTCTTAGCTAATTACAAACATAGAATTAATGTTTCCCCTATACGTAACTATTTCGACGAATTGAACAATCTGGGAAGCAATTATCTGAACCATCCCAAGTGCAGATAGCTCAATCCACCTTATTGTATGAGCAAAAAGGAATGCTGAAGAGCAAACTAACAGAGAACCAATGCTTCCCTGGAGATACCGATTTCCACGAATTAACAATCAGGGAAGCAGCAATCTTACCCATTCCAAGTGCGGATAGCTCCACTTCGTTGAATTGCTGCATGTATCTCTGCAATGAAACCCCCCTCAAAAGTCGAGCAATTAGACAATAAATTCGACGGGGATAACGAAAGGCACGCGACATCGAATCAGGCAAATTCGAAACCCTAACTGCAAATTAATTGAATGAACGTTTCGAGCCTTGAGAATTGGGAAGCTACCTTAGCGAGATTGACGTAGAAGAAGAGGGGCTTCTTGGTGTTGGAGACCTGAATCCGGTTCTTCTTCGTCGCATCGGCTCCCGCCAGGTTGATGTTGTTCACGCCCTCAGTAATCTCTTCCATTGGAGCTTCGAACCGGTTTGGGGGAAGGGAACTAACCCTAATATCTTGCTCGGAGAACGTCGACGGAGGGAACTTCGCGGAGGAGCGGAAACAAAGGATCGACGGGACGGCGGCGGCGTGGCGACAGTTTTGGCTTATATATAACACTGGGGAAAGCCTAACTATTGAGCATGTTGCTGGTGTTTTAAACTTGTAATTAATTTCCTACCTGGACTATTAAAAAAAATTCATTTCCAACATTCTTTTTAATTAATATTCTTTCTTCTTATTCCTGAAAATAATTGTCTTTCTTTTTTCTTCATGTTCATTTATGAACTATGCCTGAAATTAATTGTCTTTTTTTTCCCCACAAAAATTAATAGTCTTTTTCCCTTGTTCGTTAATTGTAAAACACTTCATATTTTCTTTCATTTACATTTTAGGTATAGTCTCCTCATTGTTGTGGGACATTGAAAATTTTAGTATGGATGAAATAGTCAAATATATTGTTTTTGTCCAAAAAGTTATTGTTCACGAGGGGCCTCGTGAGAACGTGATTATAAGTAAAAAACATTTACATAATTACAGTCGTTATTCTGGGTACGAATTCAACAACATCATATGCTTGTGACTTGTGAGCACTGAACACCATAATCGTATTGTTGTTTGTCATTTAATCTCCTTTATATCTTGAAATAATGTTTATCACAACCCCTTGCTTATCAATTTGTGGACCGTGGACCGTCAACAAGCAATGCAATATGACATAAACAAAGTCTAAACCGTAAATTCTCTTCTACTCTAACACTAGAATACTAGATCCAATGATTTTTAACGCTCTCGAACCAAATCCACGTAATCAACTGCAACTAAACCTTATTTAACTAAGATTAAATCCTACCATTAGTCATCATAACCTTTAAGCTTCCGAAACATCAATCATAAACAACAATCAATCAATCAACTAAAGAAACCACAAACCTACACAAATCCCTAAAGAGTGAATTGAAGAGAATAAGAACCAGATTGAACAAAACCAGCAGCCAAACTCCAAAAGCCTGTGTACCAAGGCACCAAATCCCACTAATAATTTCACCCGTTTCATTGCCTACAAAGCTCCAGAAGCTCACCTGTGGATGAGCTTCTCAGAGTCAGAGGGAGCCTTTTCTTCCTAGTTCTCTTCTCTCCCTATATCTTCTCGTTCTCACCTAATTATAGATAGCACTAAAGATAGTAAAATGGCGAACTCCATTCTTACCATCTTCTACATATCCCAGCCACTCGCCACAACAGCTTCAGTCCCAAGCTCGTAGCCACCACCACCACCACCGCCGAGACCAGACCAAGCAGGCGGCGCGGCGTAACCTCCGTAGCCATTGTCACCATAGTAAGAACCCGAGTCGTAACCACCATAGCTTGCCCCGCCATACCCACCGTATCCACCGCCTGAGTAGTCATTGCGGTAGTCATCATACCCACCATGTCTGCTCCCACCACCACCGCCGCCGCCATACCGTCTGTATCGGCCGCCGCCAGAGTAGATGTTTGAGGAGTTCTTGGCGTATTCGTTCAGCCAAGGAGGGACCTCCTGGTTAGACTCCTTCATGAGCTCGACCAGTGGCTTCGCCAGTGACATGTTCTGGTCGCTGAAGAATGCCGTTGCTAGCCCCGACTTGCCGGCTCGCCCCGTCCGGCCTATTCGGTGGACGTAGTCGTCAATGTCCTTGGGGAGGTCGAAGTTGATGACGTGGGAGACGTTGGGGATGTCCAGGCCTCTTGACGCCACGTCGGTTGCAACCAGGATTGGTGTGACGCCGGCTTTGAATGATCTCAAAGCTCTTTCCCTCTCCTTCACAAACGAGAATGGTAAGTGGCAGTGAGTGAATAAGGTGCTCGAAAGAAGAGATAGAGGGGAAGAAAGGTTTTGAACGTCAGAGGACAAAGCAGACCATTTGGACTTTGTCTCCATGAATGGCTATAGCGGGAAGGCCACTCATGCTCAAATAGTACTCCAAGGCATCTGCTCCTTTCTTCGTCTCGGTAAACACTAGTGTCAGATCGCGCTGCCACGAGATTAGAAAGTGGTATTAGACTTTGTGGAAGTGAAGGAGAGACGGAGAAGTGGGTTTAAAGTCATTCATTCACCTTGCCGTTTGCTTTCTGGCCATGGAGGAGTTTCATGATGTGTGACCTCTTATCCATATCCTGGACAAGCTCGATCTTTTGAGAGATCAGCCCAGTGCTGGAACCAACTCTCCCAACGGATAGAAAGATGTAATCCTTGAGAAAATCAGATGCAAGTCTCTGCAAGACAAGATACACTGTTACTGCCAAACGCATGCGGGCTCAAAATAAGCTGCCATCAGATAAGACAGGCCACTACTTGGGTCAATAAAATGACAAAACAAACCTAAGACCATTAAGACTTTTGGGGAACATTTGCATAGTAAATATGCAGACCAGATTTGGACTGACCCTCTCATGTCTTGGTCACAGTCACAAATGCAAACAAGAAAAACGATCAAGTTGGGAGCCACTAAAACAGAATCCAAGATGGGCCAGGAAAGAAAAATAAACCTGTATCTCATCAGGGAATGTAGCACTGAAGAGCATAGTCTGCCTTTGACCAGGTGGAGGCATCCCCATCTGCTGAACTATCTTCCTAATCTGAGGTTCAAATCCCATATCAAGCATTCTATCGGCCTCATCCAGAGCCAGGTGCTTGATCATCTTCAGAGACACTCTGCCTCTATCAATCATGTCAGCCAAACGTCCTGGTGTTGCCACCAAGATGTCAACACCCTTCTCCAAATTATAAAGCTGCACAACACAACAGATTCCATAGAAGAAAAAGCTCACACTGTTAAACAACCTTAAACCAACATCGCTACCTTGAATGTGCCACCAGACAAATGCTGCAAAATGCCCATGTGCGTGAACTACCTAACCACAATAAACAATGGCGGACAATTGAACTGAACAATGCGCACGATTATCTGGGTTATGGCCAATTCTCGAAGAGAAAATGATATCCAAATGCTAAGTTTCTAGAGGAAATGACAGAATTCACAAGCAAAACCAACAGGGGAAGCAAGCAATAAAAAGGGGATTGGTGTACAGAAACCTGCTGTTGAATAGATGCGCCTCCATAAGCAACAACGATCCTCACTCCAGTCTTGAAGGCAAACTTCTTGGCCTCCTCGTGAATCTTTTACACAGTGGCAGACAGGATTACATTAAACAATGGTGGGGGAAACGTGTAGATCAAGGAGAAATGGTTAAACAAAGTGGGTGAACGGGGAGAAAAAGATACTTAGGCATTGGCTGAGTCCCACCTGACACGACAATTCCCTGGTAGGAGACAATATAAGAGCAGATGGCTGGGCCACCGTCCGGGTCCCACCCGGACCCGAATTCAACCCGTTTTTCAAAATCGTCGAGATGATCGGAAAGCAGAACGCGGCGGTCTTCCCCGACCCGGTCTGAGCACAAGCCATCAAATCCCTCCCGGCCACCGCAATGGGAATGGCGTGCTTCTGGACCGGAGTCGGCTTCGAGTACTTACACCTCCGGATGTTCTGCATCAGACCTTCCCCCAAATCGATCTCGTCGAACCTCTCCACCGGCGGAGGCACCTCGCTCCCCGTCGCCTTCACCGGGATGTCGTCGTAAGCTTCGAAGTTGATTCCCCCTCCGCCGCCTCCAGCAGCTTCCTCCTCGCCCAGCACCTCCAGCTCGTCGAATTTCTCCGCAATCGCATCGGCAAACGACGGCGAAGAAGACGATTCGTACTCGTTCCGCCGCTGACCGCCTCTCCCGCGGCGGCCGCGGCCGCGAGGGGCGAAATCCTGCTGCCCGCCGAGCACATACCCGCCGCCACCGTACTGGCCGTATCCAGGAGCATTGTAGACAGCAGAATAAGGCGAGTAGCCGTAAGCAGCGTTGTAGGGATTCGCAACTGGAGCGTTCCGGAGGTGCGGAGGCACGTAGCTAGGCAGACGAGCTCGACCTCCTCCTGCTCCGCCCCTGCCGCCGGTGAAATCCCAGCTCATGGTCAACAAGCCGAAGAAGAAAAAAATAACAAGGACGGAGACGAGACGAGACGAGAGCAGAGGAATCTAATTCGTGTTTGGAGACTGAAGCTAGAGAGGGGAGTGAGGGAAGGAAGGTTGGTTTCTCGCAACAATGGCGGATTTGGAGAATGGCGTGAAGGGGAAGGAGACGGAAAGGCGCCCTTTCGTTTTGTTGAGTACGGGGTGGGAGGGAGTGAGCTGGAATTTACTGCAAAAGAATAATAAGAAATTGGAAAAAGAAAATGGGGAGAAATTGGAAAGGATATCCGAAATTGGCAAAACACTGAGAAAAAGGGAAACTATGGGGTAATTAAATCGGATTTATTTACCGAGACGGTACAAAGCTTGTTTTGAGAAATGTCGAGCGTACCCCTGGAGATCTGGTCTGACGGTTTGGTGAGCGACGTAGATGGGGAATGTAGGATTGGAGGTAATGTAGGGGTGGGCACGTGGTGGTTAATCCGTGGATTGATATCGATTCATCCATAAATAACCCAACCCGCAAGTAGTGAGTGATTGATGTGGGTGGATTGCGGATTGATAAATCTCTCACCCGCACTTATGTGGGTGGGTGGTGGGTGAATTGTGGGTCACCCGAATGACCCGCATCATATTTTCACATGATTTTTTTTGCTTCTTATAGTAACAAATATTCATCATATTTCCGAACTGTACTAGAGTCTGACCATATACTTCTAAAGCAGGAGAATAAAGAATACTTTTGACTACTACTATTATTGGGTATTGTGTTGTGTAATATCCATTGGATATTGGAATGCAAATTATTGTTAATATTTATTAAGCATTCGGATGAAAACTATAAATTATTAACGGTATCAAAATCACAAAATGCGTAAGTTTTCTCTGAACAATTGGTTGATAGAGTAGTAAAAAATTATATGCAAATACTACATGGATTCACTTGAGAATGAGACAAAAGGAGAAGTGTTCAAAAAGACTTACTAATTTACTATAAGCTTATTATAAATGCTAGTCAACTTTCTTAATGGCTAGTTGGAAAATTGCTTTTGCGGGTTAACCCACGATCCAATCGCACCCATCCGCCACCCACCAACCCGACCCGCAGAAGAATGTGGGTGGATTGCGGATCACAATTATTCAAACTCGCTAGTAAGCGGGTGGGTCAATTTGAAACGAAAACCCACCCAACCCGCCCATTGCCCACCCCTAGTAGGAAGGCAGGCAGGTGATTACAGCTCCGCAGAAAAATATCTGGGGATTTGATGGACCCATTGGAACGTGACGTGATTTGGTTGGAGTGTTGGTTCGAGGGGCCGTTGCACAGCCGTTCTTACACTTTGTTTGTTTAGAGGTGGAAATAGAGTGGAGCAAATTTGGGGTGGAAATGTAATTTGCACCCATTTGGATAGTATGCAAACAGTAGTGAGGAGGTGAATGAGGGGTAAATCTACTAATTCACTAAACCCTCTAATTTGGGGTGCAAAAGGAGAGAGAAAGTGAGAAAGGATGGATGAGAAATGATTATTTTAAAAATTTTGTTGATTTATATTTTGTTATTGTGTTTAATGAATACAAAATATAATAAGTAACAATTATGTTAGATTATGATAATTATAATAAATGAAAAATAATTATTATTGTAATTTTTTATCATTGTGTTAATATTAATGTAGGTGTTGTCCGGTGATCATGTTTGACTCCGGTGAGTAAGTTCGTCAAAGTTTGTGTAGTCAAATCAAGATCTCTTCGTTTATTCGAAATTGTGCTGAAATTAAAGAGAATAAGTGTTTAACTTACATATTATAAAGCAATTTGATATATCGATTCCACACCGATTTAATTAACTCAGTTTATATGATTAAATAGTTAAAACTTACATATTCGAATGTGTTTACGTAAGTTTGACTTATTCAAATTTAAAGTTAAAGTGGACACAAGAACCGTATAAGATGACCAGTTGTGGTTAAATTAAGTACGAGAATCCTGTAGGATGACTAGTTACGAGTTGAATTTCGAGTTTCGAGGCCTCTCGACCAATGATTATTACATTTGTTATAATTAATTATTATTTAAGTATTACTATTTTATGATTATTTTTATTAAAATATATTTATTATTATATAATAATTCCTATTTTATTGTTTTTTTACTAATGTTATAAATTTGATATATCTATTTTATAATAATATAATTTACTTACTTTTCAGTCTATTTGCACCCCCTACTTTTTCATCCAAACAACAATTTACCCCTCCACTTACACCCCCAACCAATTTGCACCCTCCTGCAATTTACTCCTCAATTTGCACCCCCTCGAATTTGCACCCCCTACTTGCCAAACACAGCGTTAGGGTTGTGGGGTTCGGGAACCGGACCGCCGTGGTTGCAAACGGCGGCGACTTTTGGCCACCTCCTTTTTTCTTTCCTTTTCAATGCCAAGTGAAAAACGAGGCAAAAACATATTTCAAGAACTATACATGGTGATGTTTTTGTCAAATTTGGCAGATAATTGGAAATAATAATCGACATTATGAATACAAAAGTAGGCAAAAATAGATTGAAATAATCACAAACGAGATATCTTCGAACTAAGGTCTGTAGTTTCACGTCACGTAAATAACATCCATCTCACAAACGATTTTTGTTGGCAGTAAGTGTATCGATACGAAAAACAAGAATTACAATATTCATCGAGCCCTTGCTACTAGTACGCGTAGTGTCATCAAACAAGAATTACAATATTCGCGGAGTATGATATTGGTATAATGCTAATGCTGGACAAGGTCAAATTAATTGAGCTAGCACCACTAATTTAGTTGAATGATCCTTGACACTGTAATGACATTCTTATCTATTTAGATGATCGTACAAAGTAGTAAATGACTAATTATTAACTACAACATTAGCTCTATTCACATTTGTTTCCCTTTTCATGATGGAACATCTTGCTTCTGGAACTTGTCCACCTGGGGGAAAACAGAGATTAGATAGGCTATCAATTGCTTTTGATGTTATCCAAACACACTAGTACACATTTCTAATTGTGTTATATGGAACTTAGGAAATGCTCTCTAATAAGATGTGAAGTAGAGTTTTCCAAGGGATGTATAGTAGTAAGGGATCCACCGACCTCTAAGAAGTAGAGATTCATATGCTATAGCTGCACCAGCATGTCCCTGCAAATAAATCGTGAGTGGAAGGAGTGGTTCATTTGGGTTGCTAGTAAAATGAAAGATCTTTTAAGAACCTAAGCAAAATCAATTGGCAGCTAAACAAATTTCACATTAGAAGTGCCACTACTATGATCTTTCAGTTTCACGTAACTTAGTTTTCTTGTTCGATCAATGTCTAGTTATCTTTTACTTCACTTATTTACTTATGATATATCTCACTTCACACTATCTGCATATGTGCACGTAGTATTATCATCACATCCCATCGGATGTCAATTCAAATACAAAGTGGAAGTCATTAAATTTGTGATAAAGAACGTTTATCCTATTCGTCTAAAGAGCAGAAATTAACAAGACTAAAGCAATCAAAATTAGCTAGCTCCTCTCTTAAAGGCCACAAAAAATAAGAAAGGGAAGAAAGAGAAACAAAAATGGCATTATTAAGTCGTCAAACTTTTATTCCGCAACCAAGTCAGTGGGCAGCAAGAGAAGCTATGAAGAAGCCCAGTATGTAGTTATCAATCATTGACCTACATATGAATTATAAAAAAAAGATTGATTCGTTAATAATAAATTACCACTCAATTAATTACTTCTTTCTTTTGGTAGGAAGCTACATGCTGTAACAGTTACGCAAGAAGAAATTGGCATTGCAAACATCATGGTCTCCCTCAACCAGAGAATATCTCTTACTCCTAACAATCCAATTGTGCTTCTGGTAAGAACAAAGAACAAGTTGATAAGAGATATTCTCTTTGAGTAAGAGATATTCTCTAATGGAGAAAACAACAATGTTTGCATTGTCAATTTCTTCTTGTGTAACTATTGCATCATGTAGTACTTTCACCAAAAGAAAGAAGTAATTTAGTGAGTAGCTTATTATTACTGAATCAATCTCTTTTAAATAATATCTATGTAGGTCAATGAGATCGATAATTACCAACTGGGTTTCTTCGTAGTTTCTCTCTCTTCCCATCGACTTTGTTGTGGAAGAAGAGTTGGATAACATTGACGACTCAATAATGCCATTTTTGCTTTCGTTTCTCTTTCGTTCCATCCTTTTTGGTGGGGTACTTGAAGAGGAGGACCATGCTAATGTGATTGCTTTAGTCTTGTTAATACTCCTCTTTAGACGAAGCGGGCAAACGTTCTTTATCACAAATTCAATAACTTCAATTTTGGATTTGAATTGCCCCCCCCCCCCCCCCCCCCGAAGGTTTGTGATAATAATACTACCTGCACATATAAAAATTAAAATAGTGTGATGTGAGATATACCATGTTATCATAGACAAATAAGCAAAGTATAAGATAACTAGACATTTGTTGATCGAATAAGCAAACCAAGTTACATGAAGTTACATGAATCTCTGGAGTTGGGTAATATAATTCAAATTAGAGGGGAGTTGAAAAAAATGGGATGTTGGTTGGCTGGTTTACGATAGAGAAACTTCATCAAGATCCTCCTTTTTCTAAGTGTAATGAAGTTATCACTTGACACCTTTAATCAACAAGTGGAACTCTAAAAGAAACATTCAGGGAAGGAATTAACAGATGGCAGACTTGATGATATTTTTCAATCAGTTATAGATATTCGGTCTATTTTCTACAGCTCTGATAAACCACATAGCAACTAGGCAAATTATGTTCCAAAGCTTTTAGAACTAATAGGCACACAACCACTTTTGTAATAAGATAAAAGTCTCTCACCTTTTCTGATGCCTGATGAACAAAGTGCCTAGATGTAGCTATACCAGATAAAGTAGAAGAGGAAATGCTTAACATTCACCAAATGTTCTGAACACCAACACGACAACACCAACTATCAACACCAACTATAAAAGACCAGTAGTAGCAAAGAACCATGTTGAAATGACTGAATGGATAGCAATTAGCATACGAGAAAATTAACTAAATTTCAACAAAAGACGATATGAGATGAAATAACTCTAAATAATAAATTGGATTACTGCATTAACTACCTCCTCATGTTACATAAAACAACACAAGAGAAAAAGGGATGGACTCACATAGTTTTACAAACACCAGGAACATGACCCGTCGCCGACGGAGAGGAGGAAAGGAGGTTCTTCTCTTGGATTGTTAAACGTTGATCTAATTTTATTTAAATCGTTCTAATCCGAAGAAGAACACAAATATTAGCTTAGAAAATATAAATATAAAAAAAATACAAAAAAGAGCACCTTCTCTATTACTGCTGTCACCCGTTGTAATCGACCGTCAGCCACCGATCACGACCAACAACACTGAATTTAAACAATGACGATGAAGAGAAATGAAAGATAGGAGCGGCGGCGGCAGAGCAAAAATAAAGAGGATTTTAGGGTTGAAGGAAGATGGAGTGAGGCGGTTTGTTAGGGTGTGTATTTATTGTTTTTACGAAGGACAATTCAGTAATTTGAACTCTTAATTTAAAGCAAATATAGTAAAACAAATGTGTCGTTTAGTCGTGTCGTTTCTCTAACATGGTTGAGCTCGCTTGAGCACTGGGTGGTTGAACCTACAAATCCACCCATAATTGACCCATTATGTTGTAGGCGATTTTATGGGTGAATGTGGATTCTAAAATAAGAAATCCATAAGAAAGTGGGTGGGTGCAGGTGGACTATGATGGACCCATAACCAACCCAACTTTTTAACCCAAAACTAGCAAAACTCTTGCGCGGCCTACCTACTTAACCAAAAAACAGAACACACAAAAGTCATAATGAGTTTTCCTTATCAAAAGATCTCCAATATCTTTGTAGATCTTCCTTCCTATTTTGAATAATATATTTCAATATCAAAGCCTAATTTTAGTTTCCATGGCTGGAAAGTATACATACATTGCCTTACCGTTTGTCTACATCTCAGTGTTGCAAACCTTGTTTTCTGCTTTTGCCAAAAGGATAACAATGGCTGCCTTGCCAACATTATTAGATTGTGTCGTGAACTTACTTTTCTGGTTTTGTCGAATAATGCGAACAATCGCATAAGGATAGACTTTGCTCGTACGTTATATACATTTTCCCTACTGTTTCTCTTCATATCAAGTTCTCAACTGAAATTGTCAAAACAGTTTAGATGGACTAGTATGATTGCTTGACTTGAGGCCCTTTTGGGATGGCTTAATCTTGATGATTTGCTGCCTAATGGTGAGATGATTGTTAATTCTGCAGTGCTGAAGGTTCTGTAAAGGAAGATAATGGTGAAGAGAGCACTGTAACAGTCAGGTTATATGGCCCGAACACCGATTATGTCATCAACCGTGAGCGCGAGTTGCAGGTTGGGTCCATCTTTGGTTTGCCTAAACCCGTTATTTGTTGTTGTTGTAATGGATTGCTCTTCAATTGATGAATCATAGGTGAACATATCTTGGTTGAACGACTTTGCCTAGAATTACTCAATTGGTGGAATGGCTTTGCCTAGAGCAAAACTTAGATTGATAATTAAAGACGTAACCTAGTGGTTAGTTTTAACATTGGTCTATAACCAGGCGATGCATGGCAATTCTTTAAGTTAAATTGAATTGGGTTTGTCTACAGCCCTTGTTGTTGCATGGTTGCTTACCACATATTATGTTCAGGCTATCAAATACCTCTCGGCTGCAGGATTTGGTGCCAAATTGCTTGGATTATTTGGGAATGGGATGGTGCACTCCTTTATCAATGCACGTATTCTAACCCCAGCAGGTTTTTTAAATGATGAAACCTTCCATGGTGTTCCTTTCTTACTACCAGGTATCTCATGAGTGAAATAAGCTTCTGCTACTTAGTTTATTAGTGTTTGAACTAGGATTGATTGTTCTACTAAGTAATTGATCTTGTATGTTAAAGAAGACAATTGACCTTGTATGCTCTTTATCAACTTCACAGTTATCACCTCACCCAATTGTAAATTATTGAGAAGGCTTTGGCCAAGTTGAATGTTCATGGATTTCTTTTTTACCACGACCTATAATTTAAAGCTTTTATTTTCATTATTTTCGTTCCGTTTCTATATCTTGCAGACACGAGGGTGCCAAAGCTGGCTGTTGAAATTGCAAAGGAACTTCGTAGGTTTCATGCGGTTGAAATTCCAAGGTCTAAGGAACCTCAGTTATGGAATGAGATATTCAAGTTCTTTGAGACTGGTACTATGTGCACTTCTATATTCAATATATTATTGGAAGAAGATAAATTGGCTGCAACTGTTTTCCAACTTCATTAGTTTGTTTTATAGTTACACATTTTTCTTATTTATTGGCCATTTTCTGTTCCAGCCTAAGGTCTGCAATTTAATGATGCCGAGAAACAAAGAACATATTAGACTATATCCTTTAAAGAACTTCATGGTGAAGTCATTGAAATCAAGGTAATTTCTGTTGCTAGTGTGACTATGTCTTTGGGTTGCATAGTGTCCTGCTTTTCCGGTTGGATGTTATAGGGTTGTCTTTTAGTCTATCGATACTTGACATCTCAACTATAGTGTTGATTGTCAATTCATCTTATGACATGAGTATTGCCTTTAAGTGTTTGAATCTAGTTTAATTGTGTTTGAGGGCTTCACTTTGGTAACTAATGGATGTGAACCACCATAGCTAGCAAGGATGCAGAGGCAGACCTCTGCTGCAGGGGGAACGGGTTTATACTTTATAGTTGGGTGACTTTTTGAGTAAGGAAATGAAAAGAGTTAATATATTGTCCATGGTATGCGCAAATTAGAGTATAGGTGAAGGTGTTTTCATTTGTTGCTGGATGCTACTGTGCTAGATTCTTAGGACTTATTCTAACCTGTTCATTTCATGGTGAGTCCTAACATGTATAGTGGTCTTGAAAAGTCTATGACGGGTTGCCTTGAAGAACCTAATTGTATTTTTGAGACTATCGCTTGAAAACCGCATGGTTGGATTTGGAGTCAGCCACGAGTCTGCAGGTGTTATTTAATTCCCTGATTTGTGAACTGAATATATTTATCAGTCTGCTGAAAACAAAATGGTCCAATGTTTGCACTTCACTTCATACCGCCAATCCAAATTCTCGGCGGAATCCTCTATTTTAAATTTTTTTCTTTCGCTAACAAACATGAATTGACAAGCCGCTTAAATTCTCTTGTGGTTTTTGCTCATAATGACCTGCTTTCCGGGAACCTGATGGTTAATGATGATGAAGGTATGCATTGTGAAAGCTGATTTGCCTTTCTGTGGTTAGTTTTCATATAACATTTGGTGCCATTATTCTTTCCAACATAGGACTTCGTTGACAACTGTTGATCCTTCATGTTCCTGTTTCCGTGAACTCCCAGAGAAACTATATTTGATAGATTTTGTGTACGAATCATACAATTACAGAGGTTTCGACATAGGGAATCACTTCAACGAGTATGCGGGCTATGATTGCGACTACTCATTGTACGTCTTTTCCATCTCCCTACCTTCTTGCCCTGATAACAGCAGTGATCCTGAAAAAGTAATCAGTCCTCCCAATCCTTTTAAATCATGGTGAATATCCAGGTACCCCAGCAAAGAAGAGCAAGATCACTTCTTCAGGCATTACTTACAACTTGATAAGCCAGAGGAGGTAACTGTTGGATAAAGTTGACATTTGAAATCATTGTAATAATTATGAAGCAAGAATCTTAACATGTTGAAGCAAAACAGGTATCGTCCAAGGATCTTGAAGTGCTTTACGTAGAGTCAAACAAGTTCATGCTGGCTTCACTCATATTTTGGGCCCTCTGGGCACTAATCGAGGTGAGCTTCTTATGTATAACAAAACTACTTGAATTTTGCAACTCTCTGACCATAATACTAAGTAGCAACTGCTTTTGTTTCTATCTTCTCATGTAGGCGAAGATGTCGCCCATCGATTTCAATTACCTAGGTTACTTCTTCTTGCGCTACAATGAGTACAGATTGAAGGAGGAAATGAACTGTTTGTTGGCCTGATCTTACCTCTCAGGGTTGCACAAAGCCTAGTTTCTTGTTTTGCCTGCCATTTTGATTTGTACTCTTACAGAATGCTAGTTAAGGAGGGAAGTATGGTTTGTATGCTTTCATAGTTATGTTAATTGTTGTTGTCAAATATTAATTTTTGTAGCTTTTCAGAGGAATTTGAAAGGCAAAGACAGCTTCATTATGTTGTGTTCAACTCATTTTGGCCTCCCTCCTGCTTGCAAAGTTCTCAGACTCTGTTGTTGTTAATAAAAAAGAACAAAAATTGTTATGTATTATCCCTTTTAGATAAAAACAAGCAAAACTTAAGAGGATGAATTAGGGGGGGGGGGACCATGATTGTCCTCATCTCCTGCGAGGAATACGAACTTCGTGTTGATCATCTGAATGACCATTTGTGCAACACCACAAAAATTTTCGTGTTGATTGTCTGAGTAACCATATGTGCAACACTACAAAAATAAAGTATTAGAAAATGAACGAGTCAAACAGCAACAAAGAACATCTCGGAGAACTAAGAGCTCAATGAAAAATGGGTCAGAGATATCTTGACCAGTCACAATGAGAATAAGGGAAGAATGGAATTGAATACAAATAGAATAGGAAATTAAATTAATTATACATTCTTAACTTACCGTAACGTAAATCCCATTTGACTTCTTCTTCTTCTTCTTAGCTTACCATAACGTATATCCTACTCCCACTTGTAACGTAACGCACGCTTTGTATCATGCTACTCACACCAACCATGGTCGCATAGTCTGACTCATTGAAAGAAATGTAACTCTCTCTATATACATACTTTTCCCCCCCAAAGTACAAAATCAATATGAAGATTTGTTAAGAACTCAAACATAAGGTAACCTATTCATTGAAATTTTGTTTGTAAAAAATTCCACCCTGCCTCATTTGCTCTATAAAACCCACCCTCCTTCTCTCTTTTACACCACCGCGCCTCACAATTTACATTACAGCAACATATCATCGTCACACAACATTTACATCATCGTCCACACCATGGCGGCATCAGGCAACGGCAACAAGAACTTCCAACTGAAAGTGGTGGCGAGGGTGACCACCACCACCGGGCCCAACGGCGCCGCCGTCACACGCGAGGAGGAGCGCGTGTTCACGCTCCCTCTCGTGCCGATGATGAACGAGGACACGGCGCTGCCTTTCGTCCTCAAGGTGGTGGAGTCCTTCCTCCCGGTGAAGATCCCCATGGACCGTGACGTCATCGTGGAGAAGGTCGTCTACTCTGCCTGTTGTCTCTTTGTTGCTACCAACGACAACAACAACAAGAGCGCTGGTGGTGGTGGTGATACGACGTCGTCGAAGTTGGTGTACTCCAGGGATGGGCTGCCGCTGATCACGGTGAAGATCTTCGTTGACCATGATGGCTTCGTCACTGCTCTTGGAGACTTCGAATCCGACGACGACGATGACAGTGATGACAGTGATGATGATTCCGATGAGGAGGAGGTTGAGGCCATGGAGGAGTAGATCGAAGATCGTGGTGGTTGCGCCATGATATTATTATATTATATTATTACCTATAGTAAAACTATTGTCTGCTTGTGGTCAATAAATTAAACCAGTGTTTTCATGAGGTGGGGGTTTCTTTGTTTTGGGTCATCGTTTGTCATGTGAACGATTAATAGTAATGTAATGTTGTGAGTGATATGTTTTTTTTCTAGCATATCCAACTTTTTTTTTTATATTGAAAGAAATTAAACTTGGTTGTTGGAGAAACGTAATTTGTTTTTCATGTGAACGATTAGTATATTAGTATACTACAGCGAGTGAATGATCATTATTTTATGGGTTAATATCTTATTCTGGTCCGAATTATGACTATATAATCAACTTTGATTCGTGGTTTCATAAATTAACATGCTGGCCTCGACTATGCAACATATAAACTAGTTTGGCCTGACTAGTGAATTTCCGTCAATTTAGACGCGCAGTACTGTTGACCGTTAGTGAATCAACATGTAGTGTTGATGTGGATGTCATGTAAAGCAATATAAATTAATTAAAAAATTCAGTTATTTAATAAATAAATAAATAGAAATGAATTTAACCCTCCTTCCTCTATATCGTCTTCGGTTCAAACAAATCTCTCCCCAACCTGAAAAAATTCCAATTTCAAAACTGCAACCAATCCCCTTCCTCCGCCTCACCCACTGTGCTGCCGCCTTCCTCTGCTCCACGTCTCTCAAATTCCATTTTCAGGTGGCTTGCCACGTCTCTCTCAAATTCCATTTTCTAGGGTACCATTAATATTTGCCCAGCCATGAGAACTCGATGAAATTCCTCGAACGAATGAAGTGTTGGGTACTTCAATCGAAATTTGGATGTTCAAGCTTGGGGTTTTAATGTTTTCCGCTTATGCATTTGGTTCCAATGGTTTCTGAAGAACAGAGAACATAGCTGACGAGGGATAAGCTGGCGATGGGGAAGAAGGATCATTAGGAGTTTAATAATTTGGTTCATTTCACATTTTTTAAATGTACTAATGAATTTGTAGGGAAAGGACATATCTTTATATACACCCTACACAATATATTATACTAATATGAGAAAATTGTTGTCTCATTTCAAATTTCATACAATTTGCTTCATAATTATTTTTCAGAAACTACAAACTTCCAAAAACTCAAAAATTGTAGCTCAAACTAAAAAATCAGAGCATCGAAAATCAAAGTTTGAAAATTTTATTTAATATATCACTTATTTGAGTGATTTTTCTTTCTATAAACAAAGTAATTGAAACAAGTTATAGCCAAATCAACAACTTTGGCTCGAAGACGATGGCTCGCTTCTTCATGGGAGAAAGGAATTAATACATGCGGTAGAAGAAAAAAACCTTTCCTCTCCCAACTCCGCTCTGTCGTGGGTAGTGGGAGCGAGGACATCGCCGTCGTGCGACGCTGCGCAACTGGCCTCTTCGCCATCGTGCGCCGCCGGGAACGGCTCCCATGGGGCTATTAAAGGCCCGCCATCGGAGGAGATCCTTACTGCTCTCCTTCCATCAGATTACCTCTTCTTCCTCTTGTATTTCCGAATTAGCGACCCTGCGCTTCTCGCTCAATTTTGGTATGGCGGCTAATAATGCTGTGGTGTTTGGCGATGCCGATGTCACTCCGGGAGCAGAGCGCAATGAACTCTCGCTGCTTGGGAGAATCGTCGGACCATCTCCGCCGATTAGACATCTGCAATCCACCTTGTGGAGGCTATGGAACTGTCACGGGCCAATTTCCCTCATCCCGGCAACGGAAGGTCTGTTTCAAGCGGTCTTCCCCAATGAGGAAGACATGAATCGAATCCTCCGCCTGGCCCCCTGGTTTCTCCCCAAATTCCTGGTGAACTTGGCCCCATGGGTGACGGTTTCTCCGGCGATTGTAGAGCAGATGTGGCGTGTTCCCCTCTCTCTCCAATTCTGGGGGGTTCCCATCGACTGCTGCTCGAGGCGAATGGGCGCCCTTCTTGGGGAGTACCTGGGCCGAACTGAGATGGCGAGGGTCCACCGCGCTGACGAGTCGGCGGAGATCTTTTTGCGAGCAAGGGTATGGATTGATTCTCGTCTACCCCTCCCTGTTTCCGTGCCGGCCACCCATGAGAAAGCAGGGCGAGGTGAGTTCTCTGCAACGGTGAAGTACGAAAAGTTTTCCCAATTCTGCTATCTGTGCGGAACCCTGGGTCACATTGGCCAACAATGCCCTCGTCGGGAAGAACTGGCAGGGACGGTTACTCCTTACAACCGCAACCTGATCTCTAAGAAGACTGGCCCCAAGGTCAATGAGAGGAACCTACTGGGTCGGCGACAGTTCACCTGGGTGCGCCAGCCGAGGCCTCCTTCTTCTCCTGTCCCTCAGCCGAAGACTCTTCAATGGGATTCATCTGCAGTGGCAACCCCTCAAGGAGGCTCATCAATTCGTCGACCGGAAGTGGGTACAACCAGTGCCCAGGTTCATCTCCTGTTGGACACCTTCGTCCCTCCAGAAGCAACCAACGCTGCCTCGGTGGCTGTCACGCGCAATGTAGTCAAAATCGCGCTTTAAAACTTAAAAACTTACGATTTTACGTTTCTAGTTCACTAAAACGCTTCTATACAAAAACTTAGTTTTTACAACCTACGTAGTTAAAAACTACGCTTTAAAACTTAAAAACTTACGATTTTACGCTTCTAGATCAGCAAAACGTTTCTACGTAGAAACTCGATTTTGACTACATTGGTCACGCGTGGCAGGACCGAGCTAATGGAGGCTTCAGTCGACAGTCCCGATCCAAAGAAACAGAGGATGGAGGAAACTTCAGACTCAGCAAGACAAATTGAAGAAGCTGTGGTGGTGGCAACCAGCCCTGACTGGTCCCACCCCTCCAAATGAGCATACTAGCCTGGAATTGTCGGGGACTAGGCTCCCCCCTGACAATTCCTTCTCTATTTGGAGCAATATGCAGATTCTCCCCTTCCCTGATTTGTTTGAGTGAAACTAAGCATGATGATGAATTTGTGAATAAGAAGTTGAGTCGTCTAGGGTATATAATAGTTCGATGTGTGTCTCCTTTGGGGAGGGCCGGTGGCCTTGTAGTTGCCTGTTCCCCCAATGTCCAGTGTCGTGTGCTCGGGGAAGCATCCTTCTTCTTGTCGGTTGAGGTTCAGCATGTAGTTTGGGGTCTTCTTGCTGTTTTTTTCGTTCATCTAAGTCATGGTGTAATATTCGTGGTTTGCAGTTTAATGAACTTCTCAATTTAGTTTTGTCGTGTGATCTCCCTGTCCTTGTTCTTGGTGATTTCAATTGCATTCTTGCTGCATCGGAAAAACAGGGTGGCCGCCCACCATCTTTCACCATGTTGGACCAATTCCAGTCTTTCATTCACTCGGCGGGTCTACTGGATTTGGGTTTTAAGGGACCACCTTTTACTTGGTCGAATCGCCAGGGATTGTCTACTCACATCCTTGAACCACTCGATCGTGGTTTAGCTTCTAA